CTCACCTTTTCGACCACCGGCTCCGACAGGGTTTGACCCATATTGACAAGTATTAATTCGGGGGTTGTGGGATTGAATGGAAAGTCGAAGTGGTTGAAGGAAGGGGAAGAGTCAGATGAGGGCGCAGGGCTTTCGCGGATCCGATAAGTGGGGAACAATGGATGACGGCAGATAGGGGGATCCTTCTGAACAAAGGCCTGAACAACGGTCACAAAGCTTTCTGTTTCAAAGGAGTTATTATTCTTCGAGGGGTTTCTCGAGCAGAGATTTCGTGTTTACCGCTTTGGTTCTCTATACTGTCACGTGAGGAGGGGATCTCGCAATTGACTGGTCATTTGATGCTGCACCGAGGTTGCTACCCTGCATTACTTCCTTGCTTCACGCTTACTCAGTTATTCATAGATGAGATATTCAATGCTTATGGAAGTTCCTATTAGAGCTAGTTTACAAGTATAACGACCAATCAACTAAAAAAGCCAATGGATATCATGTGCGCAATGCCCGAGAACGCCGAAAACAGAATGACAAGGAACACAGAGTGAAGGAAGAAGATCAAACAAAGGCTAGCTCGCCACTACTGGCAACAGGAAGACCACGGCTGCTTCCGCTCTTCACCGGAGGAGGAGGCTCTAGAGGAGACATCCGCCATTGGGGATCCGCCTTCTTAGGGCTGACCTTGCGCAGATGCTCATCCAGATCCGAGATCATGGAAGAACTCTGCGGCATGGCATTCTCATCATTCACTCTCTGAGGCCGGTGCTGGCCCTCCAACTGTCGAGCACTGCTCAGACTGTTCTCACTCCAGAAGCGAGGTAGTGGGGAGATGACACCGCGGTAATCCTGCGCGAGACTCAACTGACTGTGACCGTTGGTGCTGCCCTCGGCAAGAGGGAACAGGCCTGGTGTCTGCAAGTTTTGGTAGTGGGACATGCGGTTGTCGTCGCCGTATTCTGAGACTGAGATTGCTGTGGACATCGGGCGCTCTTGAATTGATTGGCGGTACTCATCGCTGAAGGTTGATACTGAGACTGTGTCGGCGCGGCTGCGGATACTGCGGGCTCGCTCGAGAGCTCGGAGACCGGATGAGGTGCGGCGGCTGATTTGAGCGGAGAAGAGTGGGTTGGAGGAGTTGCGGTGCTTGGCGCGACTGTGGACGAAAGCTTCGAGGGAGTCGGCTTCTGAGATGGTGGACTCATCGGGCTCCACAGCTCGCAGAGTGACTCGTTTGTAGTTCTCCGGGATGCTGGATGCCATACTGTGTCTCATGCGGGCGGCTGCAGGAGGGCGGGGGAATAGCGGTCCCATGTTGGTGGTGCTGGCCTCATCACTCAGCATGGATGCTCTGTTGTTTTGCCATGACATGTGAACGATGCCGTGTCCAGGAGGCCCGAATCCACCGGCACCATGTCCGGCACCGCTGAATCGTACAGGTAGTCCAGAAGCAATGGATGAAATACCACTTGAACGTTTGGAGTACCGCTTCGACTTTGATGATTGGATAGACTCTCGCTTCATTGCCCGCGGCTGGATAGTTTTCAAGGGCTGGCGTCGGGTTCGGTTGGTGGATCTGCGACGGACGGGGCTGTTGGTATTGGTGTATGAAAGAGGGTTGTTCTGTTTCTTGCTAGGAGAGATATGAACTGGCTTGTCGTCTGAGATGACCTCTCGGAGCGGGACAAAACCACCACGAACGGGAGAGTTTCGTTTAGGAGAACGGGGAGGGATGACAGGCTCAGGTATAGAGAAGCTGATAGGGTGCTCCTGTTTATCAAAAGAGGACACATTCCAAGCTGGTCCAAGTTCAAGCTTGGGGAGATCTGATGCGGGCGAGATAGGGCTCATCCAGTCTTCCGAGTTGTCGTCACGAGAAGCTCTTTCCGTCATGGCTGGGTGGCAATTGGGTACATCAGGTCTGACTGGCCGTGGAGGCGCCGGCTTGGTGTTGGTAGGTCCCTCTTCAACTGTGGGTGAGCCCTTTCTACGACGCCAGCAGCAGAAGAGAATCAGAAGACTCAAGATCACCACAACCGGGACGACGATGGAGATAGCAATAATGCCAGCCTTCTTGTGGTTGGGGCTGCTGGAATCAGAGAACGGATCCGTGGGGTTTGAATGTGTGTCCGATTCTTTGAGTACATCGAGCACAAAGTCTCTTGTGTCATCAGTCGATCCTTGGTGTGCAGTAAGAGGAATGGTAAACTTCTTAGGGTCCATATCTTCTGGAACATGTCCATAGAGCGTCTTGTTCTCAGGGAAGTAGGTGAGCCACGAGGACAAATCGCTGCCCAACTTAACATCTAGTTGCACAGAGTCATCGGTAACGATAGACTGGTTAAACTCGAACTTGAATTCCCTGCCAATTGCTGCTTCACATCCGTCGACAGTATCAAGGAACAACTTGAGGAACTCCAGGCGGACCATCAGCTTCGCCTGATCTTGGAAAGTGTCGGTCACAGCAATAGTGATGTTCTGGTTCACGGCATCACTCGGTGGTGTTCCACTTAGTGATACATTGTCCTCGTCCAGGTCCAGCCAATCCGGTAGTTCAGCATCGACCTTGGCCAGGTCCGTGCTCGAAGTTGGCGAGCCGTCCATCGACAGAATGCTGGTGAATTTAGGACTGGTAAACTTGTCACCCCGGGTGAGGTTGAATGTCTGGACAGTTTCGTTGAATGCCAGAATATGAGGACCAATCGCCAGCTCAAAAGTCATGTTGGCCGCGCTATATCCAGCAACATCTGATGCAATCAGCTGAAACGTAAACGTCTGAGGCCCCGCTCCTGGAAATGCTGGGCTGTTTCCTGCGAATTTCAGGGCAACTGGATCGAAGTTGATCCAAGAAGGTAGCGGTGCATTGTTCGGCGAGGTTCCGTAGTAGATCGTAGAGGGATGCGTATTGTCGAAAGTGTCCTGGTCAAACTCGATGGAGAACGGGCGACCGGGGTGGATGAAGAGAGTCGCAGGGTATGAGACGGGCCCCAATGACTGTAGTTGAGGCACGAGTGGCTTGTTCACAGTTGGTCCTTGATCGGCTGTCACAATTAGAGTAACGTCCATACTGTCGCTCTCCGACCCGTTGGATGCGTTGAGCTTGAACTTTTTGGAGCCACTGTCATCCATGTCTGGTGTTCCTGAGAGGGTACGAGTGCTGCTGTTGACTTTGAGCCATGATGGTGCATCTGAAAGCGAGTACTCCGTGGCGTTGTCACTGTTAGAGAAAGTACTTTGGGCGAACGCAAAGCGGAAATGCTGTGAGACGCGCGCGACAGGCGGCAACTGCGCGTTGATAGGATAATTAGCAGTCAAAGCTGCTGCATTGACTACTGACAGAAAAGCCAGGGCGATGAGAAAGAGCGCCATGGTTGACTGAAGAAACGGGAGCACCGAACTGTGTATAGTTGACAACACAGGCTCACCGGATCACCAATAGCGCATCTAATCTCACGGCGAAAGATAGTGAAAGTAGTCAAAAGAGGAGAAAAGAGATTCAGGACGAGGACGAAAGAGTATCACGCTTGATTTCAAAAATACAGTCCCTGGCCGAGCCAAAGGGACTGGAAGGGAGACATTCAAGGCGTGCCCTTTCAAAAAAGCCATACCTGGATATGCTGGATGTCACGGAAGTATGCAGCAGAATGACAGCGGAGAATGAACGCGGGCGCGATCGCTATCACCGGGCTCACGTTTCGAAGATGCCCGGCTCATGCAAGGGGTACAAGGAGCCACGGACGCGCCCAACCACTGGCATGATTTCTTGCCCCTCGGGCCCGTTCGGAAGGGACAAGGCAAGGTAAAGGTACATTTTTACTGAAGCAAAGGTCCGCACTGCAGTCATCGGCGTGGCTCACGTTCCCAAATCCAGGATCATCTTGATGCCTGTCCGTCCAGGGGCGTAGTAATCAGGGATTACTTCACGCTCCTCGAATCCACCGCTGGCATACAAGGCGCGTGCAGGCTCCCTGGCCTGATCCACCCACAGTTGAATGTACTGGCAGCCCTCCTTTCGCAGGCGCTGCTGAATGTAGGACATGACCTCCTGGCCAACACCTTGACGGCGATTAGCCTCTGTCACACAGACTTTGTGCAAGAGCGCAACGCCCTTCTGTCGTACATAGACCGCGTAGGCGATCAGATCAGACTGCGATCCCTTCGCTCGAGTCGCGTACAGCACTCGCGTGTTAGGCTTCTTTCTCCACAGTTCTTCGCCAAAGGGGAATGCCTCATTGGTGGGGAAGGTCTTTTTCTCAACTCGTGAGATCTGGGCAAGAATTTCCAGTGCCTTGTTCTTCTTTAAGGAATGGATGTCCGATATGGTGAGGTTGGACATTCCTGTTTGAAGCGCCATTCCGGATCACGGCTGACAGAGTCAAATTCGACACGTCTTAGTTGAGCTGTATGACATAGGTGGAAATGATTCTAGAAATAGATATATGTCAAACGTATACCAAATGTGTATCAAATGTATACCAAGTGTTTGGTGAGGTTGAGAAGTTTTGTGGCCCCACCTGGCTGGTCCTCCAATGGGAGTTGCCTTGATCTATATAAAAGGTGAGAATCTAAGAGCCAATGGGTTGAGATTATCACTGTTGATATTGTTTCAGGGCTGCATTCTATTGTTATCTCTGCACAATGGCGTCACAAGTCTTCAATTTCAACGTCTATAGCCCGTGTGTTGGTTCTTGGGCATAATATGGCACCGTCAACATACCATGTTTTATGAAACCTACTCATCAAAAGTCCATGGCTCCAATTACGACTATATAAGTTATTAATTGAATACATTACAAGTGCTGCATGTATAGGTAGGAACATCCGTCCATGAGCCTACTCTCTGCCCATGCTCACCCGTACATACACAGTCTCTCTGCCTATCTTGCATTTGAACTAGATAATCATTGCCTATTTGCTCGTATTATGGCCAAGTATCTCCAAGAACTCAAAAGACTCAAATAGAATGGTAATGTGGCTCCTACAGATTGGTGATGTTACTCCTATTCAAAATGAGCGAAAGATGGTACGCGGTGCTTAAGGCAAGTTCGGGGACCAGCCTCCAGCAACGCATTTTCCAGACAAATGAATCAGTCGTCGACATATCAAACTTCACTTCCATTTCCATCTTTGAATCTTTCTTCCTTTCTCCATTCTTCCACCTTTCACGTTTCATCGTGCCTTCACTATGGAACCATTCTCAACTGCCCTCCCTAAGCCAAGCACCACAGCTACCCTGGGTCGGTAATGGCACTTCATCAGTCGTCAGACAAGTCTCCGCTTCAGTGGTAGTCAAGGTACCTCATGTCGAGCCAGGCAGATTAACCGGGTGTCAACTTGAGACCGAGGCTGCAATCTACGAGCGATTCGGACCGCACCCCAACATCACCAGGTTCATCGCCTCCAAAGACGGCAATAATGTAACATATGAATATTATATTCAAGATTACAGACAATCTATGTACAAAATCAGTACTCCTAGTCCACACTCCAGTGAACAACCTGCTGAACCCTAATGGCCATAGGATCCAAATTCTTCTCCAACCTATCCCTCTCTTTCTGATTTGTCTCCATCTCAACCCTTGTCGTAAAAGTAGTAAGCTGAGCCCGGTCATCATCATAATGGGTGAAAGGATGAGGACTTCGCGTAGAGCTGAAGCTGTGTTCGCTGGAATCACCACTATGTCTTGATGGATTCTTCCCTTGAACCCTAGAAGATAGCTTGTTCACGCCCCTGCTTTGACGGAGTGGTAAGCTTGATAGTTTCTTCGCTATTAAACGGAGGAACGGTTGTAGGGCTGGTAGACATGCACAGACGATTCCAACGCATGGCTCGACGATTGACCATACGTATACATCGCTTATCACCCATGACAGGTCGATGCTTGTTTTTAGGAAGGTTATGTAGTGGATTCGGACGATGCTTGCGACGCAGGCACTAGATGTGATACTTGTTAGTCATGTTTTGGTGTAATTTCAAGAGGGATGCTGGGGGGTCGGGAACATACACGACACCCAATAGAAGAACACTGCAGACTCCGACCTTTTGCATTGTTCGCATCTTTAAGCTCCACACAATCGGTATAGGAATAAGCAAGATCAACGCGTCTGTCACGACATTGGTAGCTGCATTGCCGATAAGATAATTGTAGAAGTTGAATCGGTATTTGCCAAGGCTTGAGTTGGTCCCTTGAGTCCAGAAGTATGAGACTGGGTCGGAGGAGCATATTGTCGCAATCATACTACCGATGGCCCAGCTATAGCTGATGAAGAGACAGGTCAAAATTGACCAAGTCATGCCGAATATTCGGCGGTAGAACATCAGTATCGAGACTTTGATAAGGAGGAGCTCGGCGAGGTAGATCAATAGGTATGCGAAGAGGGTCTGATTTATTAATTAGTAAGTCTTTGAACTGAACGTATCTTCCTTACCTTTCGCAAAAGAATCAGGTCTCCAACCGTTGCACTCCAGATATGCTTGCCCAAGCCATGTTCTCCGCCTAATTCAAAATCACATAAGTGCTCTGCAATGAGCTCAATGGGGGATATTATCGACATACAAAGCACAGCTGCTGCAAGTAATCCAACCAAAGGAACAAGTGACGCCGCAATCAACCAGTCATCGACCTCCGGCCTGGATCGCTGGTAGTATATCCTTACCACAAACCGAAGAACCACGGTCAGTGCAGCAACAGCACATATCGAAATAACGACATCATTTTCCTTGGGTGTCCTGTTCTCATTTAGATCAATCCCGGCCGGCCGTGGCTGCGTGAAGACATGTGAAATGTCCATGATCGCGGTCTTCAACGGCCACCCTGGGTAATTGACAATTCACCACGTTGCTCAACAGGAAACTACTGAACGTAGCCCCAGGGGCAAACATGGGTTATTTTGATCCAGAGCAGAACAATCTACATAAGTGGAGAGTAGTTAATATGACACCCCGGTAAGAACTAGACCTCATTGAAGAAGGCGTAGTAATTGTATTTCACTGCACTAAACCCTTGGCATTGCTTATGCCTCGAGATCCAATCGTTCAGCATAAACAACTCCAAGAATTCAACATACCGTAGTGAAAGACAAGGTGAAATACAATTACTACACCTTCCCCAATATGGCTAGACTATTATATGGGGAAAGTGTCAATTTATCGGTACTCTAAGTGGAATCGGACAATACTCCTAAACCAGCAATTCTCTGTGTATGTGCCCCGCTAACTTAACTGTGCAAATTTCTGATCCTATCTGTCATGCAACGTGTGCATGCTCACCCGTGTGGATGAGGTTGGCAAGGCTATGATCTTATTGGTAATGACGTTTTCTCTGGAGTTGGTTTTTTCTTCCCCAGGAATCAGGGAACTTGCTCATCCTGAAGTATTCATGTCGTCATGGTCAGCAGGAGTACTCACTGTAATGTGTGTGGGTGGGATGGGTATAGTTCGGACTGGCCGGTGAAACACGATCGGCGTGCTGGGATGGGGGCCTATGGGGGCCGGGCAAAAAAGTGATTAAAATTTTAAATTGATTCCAAATGAAATTTTCTTATAGAGAGCGTGGACGTAGAATAACGTTGGAATCTACGGAGTATAGCGCTGCCAAATGTAAACAGTTGTTGATCAGCAAACCTTGAAAGTTCCCCACCAAACCCAACTCCAACTTCACGTCCAAGCCCAATACACAGACTCCTCCCCAAAACACTTTCCGCAGATCAAAAATGCCCCCAAAAACAGACCAAGCAGACGACAAGCGCCAAGCTGCGCGTGAAGTTATCGATATACTCCAGGAGATCTCTGACTTGTTGGTGCGTGCCTCCCTCCTTTCTCTGCAGTCCTCGTCCACGCCAGCCTGGACTAAGCTGCAGTCATACAATACATATTGAACCAAGAGAGAGGGAAATGCTGATAATCTGATAATGATAGAATACCAATCTCGACCGGACGGAGTTATCGCTCTGTGTGTCTCTGATTGAAAATGGTGTGAATCCTGATGCTTTAGCGGTACGCGTTTCCTGTCCCTATATGGAACAGATAAAAGATCAACACACGATGGTTGAGTGGACTAGTACTAATTTGTCTCCTGTAGACTGTTATTAAGGATCTGCGGAAGGAGACTGGTGCTTGTAAGCGTGTTTCTAATGCTCCGGCTGTGGAGTAGGCTGTTATGGGAGAGATTCTTTGTCTCCCGCTTACTTCCTATTGGGCTGGCTTGTGGGTTTATTTGTTTTGGCGTTTGAGGCTAAGTTGTACATGGCATACTGTACACGTACCGGTCGGAGATACCCTTTTCTTGTTTCGGTGGTAGAAATACAGATTCAATTTGGCTGCGTTGGTTTATGGAGTGATAGGTTGAAAACGTCTCATTACCTTCCTAGGTATCGTAAACTCGGGTTGGGGATATTGGGGTAGGTTATGCAGATGGCATTGGGGGTCAACTGGGAGCAATGGGAGAGATGGGCAGTAGGCTAAGTGTATAAGAAAGGCGATTCGCATAGTTTCAAATCGCGGATATCCAAAGAAAAGGCAAACGTTCGCGCTTATTTCGTCTCATCGGGCTTGCTGGCGTCCTTCGTATCCTTGTCCTTGGAGGAACCCACTTCATCGGACATGGCCTCGGCCGTGGCCTTCTTGATTTGGTCACTTTCTGAGAGAGTGGGTTGCTCCTTGGTCTTAATATCCTTCTCGTCATCGCTGTCACCGAGACTGAATGGATCGTTCTCTGCGACGGGGGAAGGCTCGACGGTGGACAAGGGCTGCCATTTGCTAGGCTTGTTGCCCGTCGAGCTGTTGCGCTTGGCGGACGAGGGAGCATTATAAAGGGTATCAATCTCAGTGGGAGGTCCATCCTGGAAGGACACCTTGCGCCGGTCTGGCGAAGGAGAGGAGGTCTTGATGTTGGAGCGAGGACGGGGAGGCTGGCGCGGAGGAGCTGTGAAATGTTAGCGGAGTTCAATAAGCCCAGACTAAACCACTGCTTACCTTCGCCGTCTCTCAGCTCAAGAGCAGAGAAATCATCTCCTAGAACCTGGGGATCTGCGTCATAACGCTCACGGTCACCACTGCGACGGCCCATATCGCCGCTACGCCGGGGACGACTATAGGCAGCACTCTCCCCTTGGCTGGGCCCAGATTGTTGGTCCACTTCCTCTCCATCGATCCTCTTCTTCAGGTTTGTTACCCAAGAGTTAACCTTTGACTGTGTGTCCAAGAAGCCCTTGCGGATATTCTCGCGGATCACGGGTAGATCATCTGCAAAGACCCGCAATTAGCATGTGCGCATCTCACAGTTACCACAGACCATACCATCGAAAAAGCTATATTCCCGGTCATCCGACTCTTCACTTCCTCTAGGTCGCTGGTATCTTGGATCGCTTTCCCAGCCGGGGGGAGGCGCGCGACGCCCGTTCGCATTGTAATGCTCGGAGAGCTGACGTGCATACATTTCATCGGCATCCAACTGTCTCTGCGTAGTAGAGGTAGGCTGCTGGGACGGACGTGGCGGCTTTGGTGGGGGGGCCATTTCCTCTTGGGCCTTGGGGTCGGTCATGCCTACAAACCCAGGTCAGAATTGCTGTCCATTTGTAAACAGTAGATTCCACGAACCTAGCAGTGCATTGAATGCTCGCTCGACATTCCAATTGCTCGCTACCAGAATCGCCTTGACGACTCCAGGCTCAACGGTCGGGAAAGCCTCCTTCAGTGTGATCTCCGACTGTTCTCTCGGGCTCAGGGGCCGGGGCGGCTTTGGCGGGGCTTCCTCGGCGGGAGCTGGCTGCGCAGCGGCAGGAGAGGAAGTGGTGACTCCGCTCTCTTGGGGTTCATCGTCAAAATCGAGCGGGCGGGCGGTAGTGGGCGACTCGGCTCTGAGGCTGGTAGGGGAGTTAAGCGCAGCCAAGGGCTTGCTGGGAGTGGACTGTATCTGGAAGTAAGCCTCATGCGACAAACACTAGATGGCATATGCTTGGGACGTACATTCTTGTCTTCTTCCGACATCTTGAAGGAACTTCAGCAGATCAAGAGCATAGATGAAGAAAAGAAAAGAAAAGAGTTGCCTGGAGAATGTCGAGGAACATATCGGGGAAGCTCCAAGTGACGTGGGGTGCACGTGAGGGCGGTCAAGCTCCATAGATCGTCCTGCAGGAGATTCGCGGTCTTCAATGCAAAGACTTCACAACTTCACAATGGCTCAATGATATTTTGATTTCTCTTAACATCACCGGCTTCAAGCAGAGTAACGGCCTAGACTAATACTGTCTACAATGGCTTCAGAGGAGCTCTCGACCTCTTTCATTCCAGCCCTGTATAAGCCGGCTGCTCTATTGCCCATTGCACGGCATAAGAAGACCCTGCTCTACTTGGTCGAGAAATATCCTGTCACTATAGTTGTGGGTCAAACAGGCAGCGGCAAAACAACTCAGCTTCCGCAATATCTCGACCAGGCAGGATGGTGCGAGGACGGAAAAGCCATCGCTGTCACACAGGTAAGTCCTATCACAGGCTCTAAGAGAAGCTGTGACTAACTCATATGTTAGCCCCGGCGAGTTGCTGCCACGACGGTTGCAACCCGAGTAGCAGAGGAGATGCGGTGCAAAGTCGGTGAAGAGGTGGGCTACTCTATCAGATTTGAAGATCTAACATCTGCTGCAACAAGAATCAAATTCTTGACAGATGGTATGTTACTCAGAGAAGCTTTGGTAGATCCTCTTCTCTCACGATATTCTGTCATCATGGTTGATGAAGCACATGAAAGATCTCTAAGCACCGATGTTCTCCTCGGAATTCTGAAGAAGATCTGCAAAAAGCGTCCTGAACTTCGCATTATTGTCAGTAGTGCAACCCTTCAGGCAGAAGACTTCCTGCGCTTTTTCGCCGGCGATGAATACAAGCCCGACGCAGAGCCGGCTGACTTAGGTGGAAGTGTTGGAAGGATCATCAGTCTGGAAGGACGGATGTACCCAGTCGATATGCTTTACCTTGAGACTCCTGCAGAAGACTACATCGAACGAGCCGTTAAGACGGTTTTTGATATTCATTCCCAGGAAGCAGAAGGAGATGTACTCCTCTTCTTGACGGGCCGGGAAGAGATCGACACTGCGATTCAGTTGATATCCGAGAGAGCGGCTACTCTCCATCCAAAAGCACATTCACTACTTCCATTGCCTCTTTATGCTGGACTCACGACAGAACAACAAATGTACGTCTTCGAACCCACACCAGAAAACACTCGAAAAATCATTGTCTCGACCAATATCGCAGAGGCATCAGTCACGATTGACGGAATCGTATATGTGATCGACTGCGGCTTTGCCAAACTCAGGGCCTACAACCCCAACACTGGCATTGAGACCTTGACAGCAGTACCAATATCAAAAGCGTCGGCTACACAGCGAGCTGGACGAGCTGGAAGAACTAAGCCGGGAAAATGCTTCCGCTTATATACGCAAGAAGCCTACGAGCTGCTACCTGAAGCAACGGTACCTGAAATTCAACGGTCAAACCTAGCCCCAGTCATTATGCAGCTCAAAGCACTGGGCATTGACAACATTGTCCGATTTGACTTCTTGACTCCTCCACCGGCAGAACTCGTCATTCGAGCATTCGAGCTTCTCTCGTCCCTCGGTGCGGTTGATGACTATGCCAAACTTACGAAACCGCTTGGAACGCGAATGGCGGAACTTGCGGTCGATCCAATGATGGCCAAGGTCCTCCTTGCCGCTCCGTCTTTCAACTGTCTAAGCGAAATCCTCTCGATTGCGGCTATGGTCAGTCTCCAGGGAACGGTGTGGGTTCAACATGAAGGGGACAAGAGATCTGCTGAGAGCAATCGCCGCAAGTTTGCCGTTGAGGAGGGCGATCATTTGACATACCTGAATGTATACCAGGCATTCGTCACCAAGGGAAAGAAGGATTCGAAATGGTGTCGTGACAACCTCTTGAACTACCGGGCTCTGCTGCGCGCAGTGAGCATCCGTGGTCAGCTAAAGCGATACCTGGAACGCTTTGGTATTCAAATTGATGAGACGCTCTCAGCTCGCAATGGCGCCCTCGATTTGAGCACCCAACCTGAGCGGATTCGAAGATGTCTCACCACAGGTTATTTCGCTCATGCGGCCAAGATGCAACCTGATGGCACCTTTAAGACTGTCAGTGGGGGACTGACTCTTCATGCACACCCCAGCTCATTGATGTTTGTGAGTATTCTAATTATTTGGCTTGAAATGGTCGTGTTTGTTTTACTGACTCTTTATAGAACCGCAAAGCAGACTGGGTTGTCTTCCATGAGATCATGCAAACGGGCGAGAAGACTTATATTCGCGATATTACGAAGATCGAGAAGGGCTACCTGCTGGAATATGCCCCCGACTATTACAGAGTCAGGTAATCTTTTAGTCACTATGTGCCTGGAAATAGATCAGAGAACCATTTGTATAAAATACCCAGGCGTTCAAGGAGATGCAATTGACATGTAACATTTGCAATACTATAAACCGAACTCTTTCTTCATATGGAGGAGACTCAGCACAGTATATTATAATATGTATTAACAGTCGACATTATCAAAAAATGATTCGGATGGCTGACCCCAATTCTATAAAACCCGCAACGTCACGGGAGCGGAGAGCTTGCCAAACACCTTCCACTTCAGACCATCGCGCATTTCTTTGTCAACACGCGCTGAACTGCTGCTTCACATCATCATTTTCAAAATGTCGGGGCATCACCATGACCATGACGGCCATGGCCACTGCCACGGTGAAGACCATGATCACTCCAACGATATCACTCCAGCCATCCAATCCCTGCTGTATTCTCAGATTGATTTCGGCCAGATCACCACTCTCAATGGTATTCCGATCCTTCAGAAACAGCCAAGTGAAGATGACCACTGACATTCAACCCGCGCGACAGAGTCCGTCCCCAAGGCCGGCGCAGCTATCGTGCAAAAGACCTGGGCCGAGCGACTGAACGACAAGCCCGAGCTCGAAAGCGATGCAGATGAGCAACTGCTCATGAACATCCCGTAAGCCCAATCCAATTCAATCCATCGCCAGCTCCATTCTTCTTTATCGTCCCTGGTGGTCGCATCTACCGCTCATCTCAAAAATTACAAACAAACCCCGCCATACCCCTCACCGTTATCGCAAACTCCAAAAAGCAAAAACTAACTCTTTGTCTTTCCCCAGATTCAACGGCCAAGTCAAAGTTCACTCCCTCCTTCTATATACCGCACCGACAATCTCCGCCCCAAAGACCGTAAAGCTCTTCAAGAACCGCGACGATCTGGACTTCTCAACTGCCTCGGAGCTCTCCCCGACCCAAACCATCGAGGTCCCGCAGCCCGTTCCTGGTGCTGATGTCTTTGAATTGCCGTTGAATCGCGCACACTGGAACGCGACTACCTCTGTCACTCTCTTCTTTGAGGATAACTGGAGTGATGGCGAGGAGGATGTTACGAAGGTTGGTTATGTTGGGTTTAAGGGACAGTTCTTGAAGTTGACGCGTGAGCCGATTAACTTCCTTTATGAGGCTGCTGCTAATCCCCAGGATCATGTTTCGATTCCTGGGGTTAATGGTGTTGGGCGTATTATGCCTGGTCAATAGTGCCCTTCGTCTGGGAGATAGTTTTTATGGGCTTGATGCTCTATATTTTGAGGCTGGGTCGCCGGTCATTATGATTAACGAGAATACCATTCTGCTTTGTACACTTCTTCAAGTTCTATGTTAGATGGAACCGGGTATAGATGGCTGAGATTATTGTCTTGGCAATCGTTTATACGCCTGTTGAGCAGAATACACTCTATACCCCATGTATTGACAAGTATAAGAAGCAAACCAAGGCCACCAACTCCATGAGCAAATGTCTACCAATGGATGTAGACAACTAAAAGCAGACTAAAAAGCCACCCAACGCCGCAAAATGCTCTGGATCAATATAATGCAATGCGCAACATGCATGTAATCAGAATCCCAATATACTCCAAATCAAGCAGGCAACGCCGTCCTCATCTCAGCCTTAGCCTTGCTCCTCTCACGACTAGACTCGCGCTCGGGTTCCGCTTCAACAGGAACAGGCACAGCAGTAGGCGGACTAGGCAAGACAACAGGTCCAGCAAGCTCCCGCTGCAAAGCTTCCAATTCATCCTCAACCTCGTCCTCATCCTGATTCGTCAAATGACCCGCCAGCATCTGACTCACCTCCTATACCAATTGTCAGCAATCCATACCCATACTCCAAATAACCACAAAACAACAAGGGAAACCATACCTCCTGATAAGCCCTCGCATCCTCCGTCTCCCCCATTAACCTCTCAACCCCCTCAATCCCACCCATCTCCTTATGAATCGTCTGCAGCACCGCCGTCCCCTGCTGCAATCCATACATCACATCCTTCTGCACAAGCGCGAACTCCACATCGCCCGTTAACTGCTCCAACTGCGCGAGCTGTCCGTCTGTTTTGGCTAGGAGGGATTCTTGGTATTTCTTGCGCCGCAATGCGAGTAGCGCACGCCGCCGGTCATCGCGTGCTAGGCATTCTTTCGCGATTGCTGTTTCACGGTCTGTTAGGACGGTTATCTTTCGTTGGTATTGGTGGAGTCTGTCGCGTTGGTTTTTAAGGTCGAGTATTGCCCTTTGGGTTGGCTGGTTAGTTTGGGGGCTTTGGCTTTGTTGTTGGTGTTGGTTGTTGCGTTGTTTGGTGGGGAAGAGGGGGGTCTCGTGAGGAGATGTAGATAGCTGTATATGGGTGTATGGGTGGGCTTGGGGGTAGATTGGGGGTTGTGTAAGGTGGGAGATGGAGGTGGGCTCACCGATCCTGGGCAGAGATCTTTTGTGAACTACTCGAGTTCCCCATGATGTTGGGGGAAGATAGAGAGAGAAGCAGCGAGGAATAGATAATAGATGATCCGGATGACGTGAGGATACCGGAGATGTAAAATACGGGTAATATTCCCGCTCTCTTTTTTTCTTCTTATCTACATACACACATCATGCCTGCAAGGAAGGGCAGGACCCTCAGTGCGGGCTTGGACCGTGAGGTAAGTATCTAGTTCAATTGCTACAGGTCTCTTTCTTACCAAACAGGTCTACCAAATTGTGCGCAAAATCATCGACGAACAACCCGAAACTGGGCGCATCCGCCTATCGGTGCCTGCGATTTTTGAAGTAATTAAAAAGTCGAACTCCAGTCTGAACCGCAAACCCAAGAGGCAGATTGAAGATAGTCTCGAGCGAGTGCTGGAAATTGTCAAGGCCGATCTTGGTGACGATGATGAGGACTCTATGGAGGGGGACTTTGAGGGTCTCGAAGAGCCTCCTGCTGCGGTATGCATGGCACACTCGTCTTTTTATGGAGGGAATATGCGTGCTAACTGCCACTGTCTAGGAACCCAACGGATTGAACCAAAGCATCGTCGGCTCGTGGGCTACAGCCAAACCTAAAAAGACCGAATCAACCGTCAGTGCGCCGACACCTACAGCCACCAAGCGACGAACAGGCGGAGGCGAATCTGCCTCCAAGCGCCGTAAGGGTGAGCCTGCCGATCGATCTCCGCCTACACATGTTAGTCTTGCGGATCTGGGTGGTCTGGACGAAGTGGTTGGGGAATTGGGTGATTTGGTGATCTTGCCCATGACCCGGCCGCAGGTGTATCTATCCTCGAATGTGCAGCCTCCACGCGGAGTTTTGCTACATGGCCCGCCGGGCTGTGGTAAGACACTGATTGCGAATGCCTTTGCAGCCGAGCTGGGTGTGCCGTTCATCTCGATTTCTGCACCCTCTGTTGTGTCAGGTATGTCGGGTGAATCTGAGAAAGCTCTGCGCGAGTACTTCGAGGAGGCAAAGCGACTTGCCCCGTGTCTGATTTTCATCGATGAGATCGATGCTATTACTCCGAAGCGTGAGAGCGCACAGAGAGAGATGGAGAAGAGAATTGTCGCTCAGCTCCTGACCTGCATGGATGAGATTGCTCTTGAAAAAACAGACGGAAAGCCCGTCATTGTTCTCGCAGCGACCAACCGCCCAGACAGTCTCGACGCGGCTCTCCGTCGTGGCGGTCGCTTCGACAAGGAAATTAACATGACTGTTCCCTCAGAACCAGTCAGAGAACAAATCCTCCGCGCTCTCACACGCAAAATGCGCCTGGCAGATGACATCGACCTGAAGACACTAGCCAAGCGAACCCCCGGCTTCGTCGGCGCCGATCTAAACGACCTAGTCTCAACCGCCGGCTCAGCAGCTATCAAACGCTACCTCGAAATCCTCAAGTCGAACAGCGGCGAAGAAATGGAAATGGAAATCGAAGGCGAAGACGAACTAAGCCCTAAAGTCCGCGAACTCCGCCGGCTAATCTCCCACGCAAAGGAATCCCCCATGGGCGAAGAAACAGAGATCGTCCTCGTCTCAAACGCAGACTTCTTCGCCGCACTCCCTAAAATCCAGCCCTCCTCCAAGCGCGAGGGCTTCGCCACCATCCCCGACACAACCTGGTCCGACATCGGTGCGTTGGGCGGCATCCGCGACGAGCTCGTCACGGCCATTGTCGAACCAATCAAGAACCCAGATGTCTATGCCAACGTCGGTATCACCGCGCCGACAGGCGTCCTCCTCTGGGGCCCACCCGGTTGTGGTAAAACCCTCCTCGCGAAGGCCGTCGCCAACGAGTCCCGCGCCAATTTCATTAGCGTCAAGGGTCCCGAGCTGCTCAACAAGTTCGTTGGTGAATCTGAGCGTGCGGTCCGCCAGGTCTTTGTTCGTGCTCGCTCTTCCGTGCCGTGTGTTATCTTCTTCGATGAGTTGGATGCTCTCGTGCCCCGTCGCGACGATACCCTCTCTGAGGCTTCCGCTCGTGTCGTTAATACCCTTCTTACCGAGTTGGATGGGCTGGGTAGTAGTCGCCAGGGTATCTATGTCATTGCCGCTACTAACCGGCCTGATATTATTGACCCGGCTATGCTGCGCCCTGGTCGTCTGGAGACACTTCTGTTTGTTAACCTTCCCTCGCCGCTGGAGCGTGTGGAGATTTTACAGACGCTGGTGCGGAATCTGCCTATTGAGTTTAGTGAGGATCTTCGCAGACTTGCGGAGGACTGTGAGGGTTTCAGTGGTGCCGATTTGGGCAGTTTGTTGCGCAGGGCTGGTTACTCTGCTATTAAGCGCAGGGATTCTATTAAGTTTGAGGATTTTGTTGCAGCAAAGTCTTTCATTCGGCCTAGTGTTACTGATTTGAAGAAGTATGAGAAGTTGAGGAGGGATTGGAGTGGTGGTGGTCTTTGAGTTCTGCTCCGATGTGCATACTTTTGCTTGGTATATACATGTAAAGATCTAGATCTAAGTTAGAAGGGTTTTTTTTGCTTTTGGTAGGGACAGATACCTGGATATTTGGTAATTGATCGAACTGGATCATTCTCGTTTCATGCTTTTGGTTACTACTTGACCACGATGTAACTAAGATCCAGCTACAAGTGGAGTAACATAAATATGGTTAAAGGTTCAAAACGACTTTTTATAAGTGACTATACAAAAGGAAATTATGCACAAAAGTAAAGAAAACGCCCAAAAAAAATGTCAGATATCATGCATCCACATCCCAACATTACATCCACAAGCGGCACGTTCCATCGGCACCGGCACTGACACACCATGCCTCGCGAGGATGCCAGTCGATATCCAGGACACCCAGCTCTCCAGTGATCTTGTGGCCCTTGAGAACCTTGAGAGGAACAATGGTAGCATTGCTGAGCATATCGCCAGTAACGCTGCCGTGGAAGATCTGCAAGGATCCATCGTCGGAAGCATCGGCGAACAGCGGGTAGCGACCACTGGGGTGGAACTTGACAGCGCGGATAGCCTTGCGGTGGTAGCGGAGGGTCTTGTAAGGGCGCTGGGAAAGATCCAGATCGTGCCAGAGGAGACGACGGTCGTAGGAACCGACGATGATGTTGTCGCCGCCTGAGGCGCTGGATGAGGTTGGGTGGATGTCGAAGGACGAGATCCAGCGGGCACCGGGCTGGAGAATTTTGACGAGCAACTGGCGCGACAGATCGTAGGCGCGGATAGAGCGCTGGTTGGCCACGAAGAGGATCGGTTTCGAGGGGTGGAAGTGTGCAGTCTGGGGGGGACCACCTCCCTTCAGGCGGCGGCGGAAGGGGAATTGCGTCAGATGCTTGGAGACGGTGTGGATGGAGATTGCTACGGAGGCCGGGGTCGAGGCGCCGGAGCATACTGTGACGAAGTAGTCGCCGCGGCGGTGCCATGAGATCGACTTAGGGACGTATTTGAGAGGGATGACCACGCAGACACCGGCGTCCAGGAGGGTGGACGAAGGACGGATCCATTGAGGGGGAGTGTTCTTCTTGCCTTCCTCTGAGGCACTAGGGGCGGGTTTGGATGCGGCGAAACCCCATCCTGCGTCGAGGATCTCCAGACTAGCCTTCTCAATCTCGGGGTCGACAATTGGGGGCACAGCGAGGAAGATGTCATCTCCCGAGGCGGCAGCGAGAATGACAGCATCCTTGCCCGGCCGCCAGCGGACCACGTTGACGGCATCCTCGTCGCTCAGCTTGACGCTCCACAGCTGGCGACCTGTGAGAAGTTCCCAGACACGGACGGTACCGTCATCGCCACCAGTTGCCAGCCAGATTCCTGTAGGATCCACGGCAACAGAGCGCACACGGCCCTTGTGACCGCGGAAGACTGTTGCGCAGGCAGTGGGGAATGGCTTGAGCTCTTCGGGGCTGGGCAGCTTGGGCAGGAGACTCTCGGGGTCGATGTTCAGCTTGCTACGGCGTACACGCGGAGCAAGGTACAGATCCAAGCAACGCTCGAACTTCTCCTGAACAAAGCTCTCGTATCCGGGAACCCGGCGCAGGGAGCCAAAGTCATTGGGAAGGAAATCCTTCTCACGGTCCTCAGGATCCATCTGCTCCCATTCCTTGCGCTCCTTGCTATCGGGCAGGTACTCGGCAGGCGGGTGATAACTCTCTTCGTAACCAGGTGGTGGCAACTTGGGTGCCGGAATATGCATGACGTGATCCGGTCGTTCGGCTTCGTCGGCCCACAGGTCGTAGTTGATGAGCTCCTCCTCCTTCTCGTCCTTCTCCTCGGGGGCCTTGTAAGGAAGAATGCGGCCCTCACGGATGGCCTTGACAAGCTTCATCACACGCTTCTGCTCGTGCTTGGAGGGCACAAAGCGGCGCTTGGGTTCGGGGGCTGCGCTCAAGGGCATGATTTCCTGCTGGCTACTGAACCATTCCACGAGGGGTTCGTATGGGTCGTAGCCATCGGAGGGAACCTCGTTCATCTGCACCTTACGCAACAGCTCCAGTTCCTCTTGGCTGAGCTCCAGGGGCTTTCCGGTCGCAGGATCTGTGAGACCAGTCCAGCCCTTGGGGATCTCAATGCTGTCCAGAAGCGCATCCAGGGCCTCGCCCTTGGCGGGACGCATAATCTTCTTTCCATTGATGTCGTAACCAATGTGAGGATACTCGTCGTAGAACTTCAGCGGGATGTTGCCAATGGTGTTGGCGTTCTCATCGGCCTCGGAGTATTCGGAGTTGTCATCCGGGTGGATTTCGTCGTAGAGGTAGCGGTCATTTCCATTGGCGTCCTTCACAATGCGGACGTTAGGTTCACCAGGAGCGGGCTTCCTGTCCTCCTCAGTGTCGGAGGGGATCTCATCACTGTCCAATTCCTCTTCTCCATCTTCCGAGTCGCTGAATTCGTCGACAACTTCAAAATCCGAGTCGCTTTCGTCTTCGCTCTCCGAAAGTTCGTTGGCGTTGTCCGACAAAGCTCCGTCCAGGTTTTCCTTGCTCAGCTCATCGCCAGAAAAGACACCAGCTTCCTCTTCCACGTCACGAGTGACAGCCTTGCGCTTCTTTGAAGCAGCCTTGGGGTTCATTTTGCCGTTCAGCAGATGTTGGTCTGTTGCCGTCGATCCAAGGTTTTTTTTTTAAGATAAATTTCGCGGCCCTCACCGCCCACATGACCGCCGTCTTATCGGCATCTATGACTTAAGCGTCAAATCTTCCACTTAGTTAGTTTCTCGAGACTCAACCTAAAGCGTCCAATGATGTCGGTCATGGCTGAATCTTGCAGAGGGGCGCCTGTACCTGTCAACCAGGCGTCCAGTGAACAAAAAAGACATGCGGCGTGCGACGAGTGCCGTAGGTTATCCTACAGAATACCCTTGCCTGGCCTTGACTGATCCGTCTGCTTGGACAGGGAAGCGCAAGCTCAAATGCTCTGGTGAATTATCAGGGTGCTCTCGATGCCTCAAACAATCGCTATGCTGCAACTATTCCTCCCAGAAACAAATGGGTCGGCCGCCAAAAAAGAGAGCGCGAACAGACGATGAGGGGCTTGAACCTTTGCCGCCTGGCGAGATATGGCCAAGTCCAGAGGACTCACAACAATCTTCAGTCGGGCCGACTCCTAATACAGGCGCCTTTCCAGACTCTGATCACCTTTGTCCTCTATTCTTCTGGACCCCTGGTGGAAATTCGCAGCAGTCACAACACGCCGCAGATCTATTAGCAGGTGACGAGGAGCACAACCACGCCTGGCCACCAGATGGTCTAAAACCTGCAAATCTGCCCGTCTTTCCATCCTCAAGCCCTTGGCCGGATTTCTCCACCGTCTCTGAAGCTACAGCCATGCCATTCCCCGTACCAAACCTTCAGAGCATGGACTCTCTACCGCTCTCTCCTCCAACATCTATCTCATCTGACGGTACTTTGTCTGGCTGTACATGTCTGTCCTACCTTTACCTATGCCTCAGTCACATATCATCCCTCGCCTCCTTCCCTGTCAACTCCCACACCCTATGCTCCCTATATATCGCCGCACGAACAGCACAAGACGTGATCCGCTGCCAAGAATGTCCAAAAGTATTTGCCACAGGCATGCAAAACACCATGTTTGTGGGGACGTTGTTAACAGTCGTTGCGGACTCGTGGCTGCGAGTCTCGCAGGCCGAGCCCGTCGAGCTGGGAAAGCAATCCGCAACACCAGAATACGTGGCTCAGGTACAACAAAGCCCCGATCCAACACAAGCCTGGAAGAGCTGGCTCCACCAGGTTGTTCGCCGTGCCATTATTGGCGGCCCTTTGGATCCCCGTGCTGTGGTTGGTTGTTCAGATCAGCTTGATCTGCTGTCCCTCATCAAAGAGGTCGAGCACCGTCAATGGCTCCGGCATCAACCGCAACAATCGCCTTGTTCTTCCAGTGCGATCCATAACTCGCCGCCAGAGCATGATCATCAAGAGAAAGAGCATCTCTGTCTTCGTGTGGTTGGTAGCGCCAGGCATGTGATTGCAAAATTCAACTTTGAGCCTGGTGATTACCCAGAAGGTGTTGACCCAGTCACGTTCAGGGATAAGATGGGCGAATAAGCTGGATAATGTTGTTGTATGATGTATGCTTTGACCTGGCTGTTTGATTACTTATGCGCATACCACATTACTACTGCCGAGGCAGTCAAAGATATTTATTGTTATATACCATTGGACATCTCTTACAGGGTTAAATCTACAATCTACAACTGGTATGGGGTTCGGGTTCCATGAGATCATTGACCATTTCATTAATTTTTGCTACAAGCATAAGTCTGAGTGAGAAAACTCCATTGTCACTCAATGCCAGTCCATGTACGCCAGATGTGAATATGAAGCAAGAAATGTAAAACCAATGGACAAAAGGTGAGATCACTCGTCGTCCTCGTCATCAACAACATAACGATTCTTCTTCCGGGCCGCCGGGGGGGTCTCAGATCGCCCTTGAGGTTCAGGTGCGGGCTTGCTTCGGGCAGCCTTTGCGGGAGCAACCTCATCATCAGCTTCACCCTCAGCGTCCATATCCTCATCCTCGAGCTCCTCTTCTTCATCTTCAATGTCTTCTTCTTCAACCTCTTCATCGCTACCAACCAAGAATCCATCGTCTTCGTCGTATTCGTCTTCACGGTTACGAGCGCCACGAGAGTAGTCCTCTTCATCATCGCTGTAGATCTCCCCACGGCGGTTTTGACGACGGGGCTTGGCACGAGGGCGAGTCGTAAGCAGACCACCATCTTCAAGAGCACCAACGCTTAGGCCGGTACCGTGGGAACGAGGAGCACCAGCGCGACGACCGCGGTCAGCCTCGCGGTCAGCAAGTTGTTGACGACGACGCTCGGCCTTGATAGCTTCTTTCTCCATTAGCTCGGCCCGTCTCTGAGCCAGTTCAGGGTCCTCCTTGGTATCGACGATAGGTGCTGAGCCATCCGCGGTCTGCTTGCTACCACGAGCAGCAGCAGCCAATGATTCTTGCAGTCGCTGAACGGCGTCGTCCGTCTCCAGGGTTGTTGGGAGGATAGTAAGACCATGTGTGACGTGCGAGGTCAGTCGGAACACTTGCGCTGCTTCCAATCCAGCTGCGAGATAAACGTGGGAGTCCAGCTTTGTGTCATAGTTTCCAGCCTTGTTGAGAGGTGCAAGAGGTTTGGATGCGATGCGGTATTGCTCGAGAGGGGCGGAGGCGAGTTGGAGGGTCACGGAGCCGTCTTCCCATCGGATCATGCGGGCATTTGACTGCAGAAGAGAATCGTTCTCTGGGTCCTTGCGCCAGCACAGGGATGTAGCGGCTTGCGAATAAGGTGGTGGGACATAGGTGGCAGGGTTGAATTCTTCGGCTTCCACTGAGAGGAAATCAGGGACGCGCATTGAGTAAACCTGCGGTAGGTTGTTAGATCAAGATTTAACAAGCTTGAGATAAAAGCTTCCCCTACCTCTCCATCATTGGTTGCTGGCACTGGAGCTCGCGCAAGGTCTAGGTCCTGAACATTGAAGATCTGCTCCTCGTCGGCGGCCTCGTCCATTCGGTCTTCGCGTCGGTCATAGCGGCCCTCATCGTCACCCGAATCAAGTTGCTCATCGTCTAGGTTGCGATGGTCATTGCTAGAAGTCTGTCAGTATTCAGCGCATTCTGTATTTGTCTGATATGCATACTTGATATCATCTAGTCCACCTTCCCCGTCCGAGCCGAAGAGATCAGCATCGTCATCTTCATCCATGTCGTTACCACCGGCATGATTCTCGGCACCAGAGTCATTGGCATTGCTGTGTGCGGGGCTTTCTGGGCCATTGCCAGCGCGGCCGGGGCGACGCACGCCCTCGTCGTCGGAAGACATGATGTGTTGTGTTGGAACTTTGCAGGAGTTTGAGGGTTTGACTTTATGAAAATGAGATAGAAGATAGAGCAAGCAGGGTATAAGTGTCAATGATCAATGGACAGAGGGAGATATCCCAGCGTATTAAGCATTGTAGCTCTCATTATTCACGAGTCAACTCCGGACACGGATTAAGAGAATCCCCGTTCCGGTCCTAATCTGGTCTAGTTCGGTTACGTCAGCTGCGATAAAGATATTCCGGTTCCGTTCTGAAACGGGGTTAGACTCCTATTGGCCCAGACCAAAAGGGGATCTCAACGTGTGGACATCTCACCGTCTCGTCTCTCGTTCCCGTTGTTTTTATTGTACTCAATCATTGCAGATCAATCTCACAATGGCGACTTTCTTCCAGAGCGTGTAAGTATTGCGCGCCTTCGTTGGCCATTGTTATCGGCCGTTGACCGTCTCTTTCACCTTTAACCCCCCTCATACTGCACGAAGCAGACCCGGCGCCACAAACACAAACAGTATCCTGGTCCCCAAAGTCTAATGGCTACGACATCCTGCTTTATTTTATCGGCATTTGCACACTCTTATTTGATCTTTCCAACCTCGTCTCGTTTTAATCACAGCTACCCCTCGCCACAACCGCTAACTTTATCTTGAATATAGTCGCCAAGGCTTTGGCCGGGGAGGAAACAATAAGAACAATAACCCCCCGAAAAGTCCAGCACAGCCTCCTGCTTCCCAGGGCCATCAAAGCAACATGTCGAATTCTCCTTCGCTGTCGAACAGCCTGTCGATCGATAACCTCGCCAACGATCCCGAGGGGCCCAAGTACTTCTTCCAGGAGAAGTATGCCCCACTGAACGTGAGGGGCAACTTCTTGACCCTGTGTGCCTGTCCTAAGAATGTGGAGCTCGGCGAGTGGCTGGCTCACCAGAGTAAGCTACGTGGAAGCTCGGATCGAGAGTGGGGATGCTGATGTATATCTACAGTTGTTGAACAATATCGTCTACTCCACGGCATGCTCCAGGTTATCCAGGAGGTGAACAGCGTCAATGGTCATTCCATTTGCAATGAAACCACTTGTCCGACGATGTCTGCTGGGCGGTATGTGTATACGGCGGGGTAGATCACGAACTGGGCTAACAATCCCGAAGGCTCACCTACACCTGGCTGGTTGACGGCCGCGCTGCCAAAATCTCGGCCCCCAAGTTCATCAACCGTGTCGAGAAGTGGATCGTAAGCAAGATCCATGACCCCGTTATGTTCCCCACCGAGAAGGTGTCTGGTACTCCCGAAACATCTGCCGTCAAAGAGGCCAATGGCACACCGACAACTCCATCAGACCCTGCCAACCCAGCCTCCGATGACTGGATTGGCAAGACTAGCGGCTTCCCGCAAACCTTCTACAAGGACTGCCAGGGAATCATGAAGCAGATGTTCCGCTGCTACGCCCATCTCTACCATGCTCACTGGCTGAACCCCTTCTGGCACATTAATAAGCACGATGTCCTCAACATGTGCTTTGTTCACTTTGTGACCGTCTCCAAGTACTATCAGCTCGTCTCCGATAAGGAGATGGAGCCCATGCAGCCTCTGATTGACCTGTTCATCAAGCAGCAGCGGGTTCCCCCAGAGGCGCTTAACGGCGGCCACTGGGCTCAGGCTCAGCAGGCCTCTACTTGAGCTCCGCTGGTCTGGAGCGCATTTTTTTATTGACGACTATGACATGTCCTCTAACCTGGCGTTGGGCCGCGCTGTCTCACTACGTGTTCTGCTTTCTTCCGCCATTCGGGAAAACGGATGGATTTGCGATGATACAACAGAGAGTCAGGGCTTTGATTGAGCATTTAGCATGCGCTTTGAATATTTACCTTGATCTTGCATATCTTATCTTCAGCATCAGCTGGTCATGGTTGCACGTTTTATTAACTACTCATTGCAATACAATTTCATCGGGATAATTGATATTCCATGGCATAAAATTGGGCGTGTCCTCATTCATGTAATCGGACTCGTTTGATTCGAGCGCGTTGACGCTGCCAGCTTGACTGAGCAGGCTTTAGACTGGGTGTCCGTTGTTTGGTTGTTTCTGAGCCTCAATAATCTCGGCTTGGGCAGTGAAGGTACAGTATGGTCGATGTGAAACATAGCCACTTGACACTAGCCGATCATCGATCCACAAGCGAATGCAGTAAAGCGCCTGTAAAGGGCAGTTGCCAAGAGCCGGTGGTACTGTAGATAATGCTCTGAGGGAAGGGAGCAATGCGAGCAATCTCATAGAAGCCAGCACCGCAATGATCCACTAGTTTCTTCACAGGTAGACTCCATCTTCCCCACCTTCGCCCTGGCTCTGGCCCTCAGTTGCATTCTGAGTCGCACCGGTACCTCCATCGCCATTGCCAGTGCCATTCGTCACCGGCGCAGTGGGGTCATTCTTCAGCTGATCAAGCTCAATCCACGGCAGTCCACGGTTCTCAACCTCAGTCTTCAGCAACGCGATTCGATCATTCATGGAGACAGCCACATCCTCATTCTCTTTGACATAAGTCTCCAGCTCTTTCTTTTCTTCCTCTGAGTCGCAACTTTCTAACAAGAATGCGCGCAGCTCGGCGTTGGAGCGGTGCAGGTGAGTGATGGAGTTGGTAAGCTCGGAAACTTTGCTGTAGAGTACGGCAAGTGGGAGCTCTTTGATTGCTTCTGCAAAGGCTCCGGGCGTTATTGGGAGGGATTCGGTGGACATTTTGGGTATGTTTTGAGGTGTGGAGGGGAGAAGATGAGGTTGATTTGGTTATCATCACGTGTTGGCTTTATAGTGTCGCGGAGTACGGAGTATACGAAGTAGAGGATGTGTACTTATGTGTACAATGATTGAAAATTCTAGATACAGCACGAGATCTACATAAAACTACACCATATATCATGTATTATACTACTTCTATTTAAGTTAAATGCTGTTGCTACGCAGCTTGGACAGTCAGTTCGCTACTATAGCTGAGATCTCGGAACAACTCCCCAGCCGTGGGCCCATCGAAAAACATCTCGCAACCACCAACATACACCTGGCTGATTCCGAGATATCGCTCTCAAGTCTCAGGATATGAGCAATGCGGTCTGGGTCGCATGGCGGGTTCCATGCATGGGGCTCCGCGCCTCTGTGCTGCCCCCGGTGACATTCCGCCCTGCCTGTCGCGATCTCCGCATTACCCCATGGCGCATGTTCAGCACTTCGCAGCGCCCATTAGGGGTGCTGAACCCCGTGTCCCGACTAAACGCACCCCTCTCCCGACCAGTATCTCCTCCGTTCTTCTCTCAACAACTCGCTCCGTCTGTTCCCCGCCGATTCAAAAGGACCGTCGCCCCCAATCCAAAATCAGATCCGTCGGAGGTCCATCCCCGCAAGAAGCCCTTCACCGATGCCGAAGTCAGAGCCATATTTGGACGCTCCGGTCTCTCCACGAAACTGGCTAACCGCATCCTTGCCGTCTTGCATGCGCACCGTCTGGCCGGTACACTCGACGCAGACTTGCCAGTTGACATCAAACGCACCGTCGCCCAGCACCAGATTGATACTGCTCTGGACTGGCTTCGACGTGAATACCCGGTTGACGAGGATGCCGCTATCATGGTCCGCATTGAGCGCGAGGAGCGTGAGGAGGAAGAGAAGCTCATCCGCCGCGCTGAAAAGCTAGGCCTGTACAAGCCCCAGAGCGGTTCTTATGATGCTGAACTCGGCGAGGAAGGCTCTCCTTACGGAAGGAGTGTCCTCAAAGAAGGCCGTGAGCAGAATGAGAAGCGTTTGCTGGCGGAGCAGGAACGTAAGCGTCAGGAATGGCTTGATGGTGAAAAGGAAGAGCAGGAACGGTTGAAGCGTCAATTTGGCGAGAATACTTCCCTGCAGCAGTATCAAGAGGCTGCTCTCACTGAAGGTATGTAGCTTGGTCTCTGGTTGGTTACAATTGGTATTAACGGTTTTATAGCTCGCCCTCGTGCCGATCCTGCCCTAAGGCCATATCTCGCTTGGGTTCAGAAGCATCACATTGCTGGTACCCATGAGACACCCGAAACAGTGAACATTACTACGGTAAGGATTTCCTATTTGCTTCGAGGATTTTATCGTTAATCACGCTGGCAGGCTCAACGTCTACTCGCTCCGCTTCTATTCACTATCGTGACTCTTGGACTTTGCTATGCCTTTACTCAATACTATGAGTTCCCGGCACGAAAGGACCGTTTCATGCCGGATATCCCTCCCGCTGTGGCGACTGTGGGAGCCATTGTTGGAGCTAATCTGGCTGTTACTCTTCTTTGGAAATACGTCCCTCCATCGTGGAGATTGCTCAACCGTTACTTCGTGATCGTTCCGTACTACCCTAGTTCACTTGGCATGATTGGGAGTGTTTTTAGTCACCAGACCTGGAGACATCTCGGAACGAACATGATGGTCCTGGCACTTATGGGTACTCGAGGTAAGCAGAGTGGGCTTCCCCCACGAGAAAGGATATACTAACCATTTACTGTGCCATAGTCCACGACGAAATTGGCCGCGGGAATTTCTTGGCTATCTACTTTGCCTCGGGTGCGGTGGGATCCATCTTCTCGTTGACACGCAGTGTTTTACTCGGCCGTCTGGGTATGACCTCCCTCGGAGCCAGTGCCGCAACTAGCGGTATCGTCGCCGCATGGTGCATGTCCCATTTCGAGTATGTCCTCTACTGTCTTTTGTGTTCATTTGCAAGGACATGACTAACCCTGCCTAGTGACAAAATCACAATGTGGATTCTTCCCCACGAGCTACGAGAGAAAATCTGGACTCACGGTTGGGTTTTCCTCGCTTGTTTGGTTGGCACTGAGGTCTTCAGCTTGCTGGCTCCTGCGCGCTTCTTCCGAGTGTTCCCTCTTTCTCGACTGACCAAGATGGACCACGCCGCTCATCTGGGTGGATATGTTGCTGGTGCGGGATGTGGATATTCTCTAATGAAAAAGAAGGAGCGTGAAAGGAAGGCTAGAGAGTCCAAGTGGTTCTGATCTATGAATGTTGATATGGTTCTCTAGATCTTCCGGTCAACACTTATGGACGTGGCTATTCTATATTTTGTATTATACTGGTGTTACTACGGCTGAATCTAGTCTTTATACTACTCATTTACTTATGCTGTGTGTTTTTGTACCCTGTTTTCATTCAAATAAATTCAATGCGCCGAACCGTCTATGAAAAATGTCGATCTGAAAATGTCAATCTGATCTTTGGGTCTTTGTTTCCCATTCGATACCCTCTCCATTCTAGCTACCCTCCATCTCTACATCCTTCAGTTTAGCGGCCCTATCCTGGCAATCACTCTCAATGAGATCATCCAATTCCGCATACTGAATTCCACGCTCCTTCAGGAGCGTATCGACGTCGTTGTCACCTAAATCGCCATCATACACAGCCTTAGTCATTGTCTCCCATCGATCAATGCACTGGGGGATGCGCTCAGCCTGGCCGAAGCGGGCTGCGATAGGAGCTAGAATTTCAGTGGGTTGGCGGTGTCTGGGGGCTACCTGCATGCTGTTAAAAAGATTAGTCAAGTCTTCCAATACTTCACCAGCCTTTGGAAGGCTCTCTTGTACCTCCGGGTAAGCTACGCCTCCATCGGCACGAAGAAGGCCCCATAGTTTCGACCACCGCGACCAAAAATCCGTACGGCACGCTTCATATTCCTTGTCATCCGAGTGAGGACCTTGAAGTCTTCCAGCCACCTCCTCAACCCGAATCGAAGCCTCCATTATCTCTTCGTTCTCTTTGTGATGAGGCTTAGCGTGTTCAGAAACCAAGAATCCAGTATAGGAAAGAAGTCTTGCCACTTCTGTGTCTCTGTCACTTACCTTCGTAGTGAGTGAAGGGTTAGTAAGGTCAGCAATGTCAGTAGCAGGAGCCGGGGGAGGTACATCACCAAAGCAGACCGGGTATTTACGCACCTTAGTCGCGTCCTCACTTGGGAGAACTACCTGTGTAGGGATAATCATCGAGTCTTCCATATCAAACCTAGGATGACTATGCCAGAGGGCCTCTCGGTCAACACGCATCTTGCGAGATCCAATCTGGATAGAGAAGAATTCTGCGAGATACTCTGCCTCTTCGTAGATGCTCTTTCTATCCTGTCCTTCTCTGATAGGGACTGGCATGCAGAGCCATCCGCCAGTGGTGTGGTGCAGGGGCTCATTGGCGATGAAGCAATCGCCATCTGAGATGCAATCGGTCACATATTCGAGGAGCTCTCTGTCGTTTCTGTGTCTGATGTCGGGGTTGTCCATGCGTCCTGGGGTAGACACTGCTACCCACCAGACGCCATCGGTGGGCTCCGGGTAGTGTTCGCCATCTTGACCGTTGTTAACATGGATGAACATGCTCTTTGCCGCCATGCTGGCTGGTTGTGTTGATGTCACAGGTTGACTAACGATGTCTATATGTTAGTTGTGAATTGCCTTGAGGCGAATGATGAGAATTTATTGTGATATTGTGATGTTATGATGAGGTGGTGGTCAAAAGAGCTGGCAAAATTGTATGCTTTTATATTCCAATTAAGACATCTGCACTGCTCATTTGGGTACTCTTACCTTTGTGCTTGGGTTAACCCAAAGGGCTTTCTCCTAAAACAATGGGCTTTCTCCTAGAACAATGGCTTTCTCCGAGCCTTTGACTAGCCTTGAGCCTTGAAAGCCCTTTACTCGAACAATTTATTATAGATGAAACGCGGCCTTGTCCGATGTTGGTACGCACAAAATAACAAGAATACAACCGCTTTCTTCCTTTCAATATTCATCCGCCTTCAAGACTACAAACCCATTATAACTTGAGCTTCGAATCACCAAGGAACATTCCAATAAAGAGTTTGTGGCAGATACCCTTTGTTTTCATTGTCTAGTCCTCGACTCGAACCTCAAAGGTAATTACCTACAAGTTCTCGAATTTGGAAAACCTTGAAATAGAATGTTTCTTTGGGTTTATTATTTTCAATGCCATGAAGATACCATGGCTCCTAGTCTGGGGTTTGTTCGTCTGGATTATAAATTTACCAATGATCCCATACTAGGGGGATACAACCACTTTATTCATTTCACACGCTTCATTCACACAGTGAGTTACCCATTTACTACTCTGTTCTACCATTTTACGAGCTTTGTTAGACATCCTGCAGTGGCGACTATCTTAGTTCTCATCGTACGTACCGGACAGCTATCTGTGCTCTACTACCTCCTACATAGTCATTTTCTCCTATACCAAGGAGATACAACCACTGTCTTCTCTGATCCCGTTTTCAGACCACATAGTGTCTCTGTCCTTAACGGGCTACTATACGACTTTTACAAACTTGTCAAAAAGGTTATCGCTCTGATATATCAAAAGCAAGTATCCACTGTGTCAGAATCCGCAACTATGATGAGCCGCAAGTCCTCCCACACTGTCACTATGACCAAGCCCCGCCGCATTACTTTGTTGGAAACCTCTAACCCTAAGCCTTCCAGTGCTAAGACTACGGAAGGAAACTTGACCTATGCAGAGCGCCTCAATATTTATATGAACCACCCTTGGGGACTGGTTGACTACCATATGTACCTCACACACATTGAAAGTCGTAGAGATGAGATCAACCGCTCGAAGGAGTGCCATCTCCTTGAGACTGGTGGATTTACCCAGGTAACACTCACCGAAGAGCTAACCTCCGAGAAGATTCCCACAGGCACGAACCCAACAATAGTATTTGTGAGTCTCCCCGTCCCTAAGGTAGGCAACAGATTCGACAACACCAAGCTGGTGCTAGGCTTCGATCTGGCAACCTTCAATCTGCAAGGTTATCTCGTCGAGTCTGAGACCCCACTCGATGACTACAAGGACCTCCATAAGGCATGGAACAAGGGTCGGCTAATGATCGATATGCACGCTCACAAACTCCTGGGTATTGTGGACCACACCATGCAGAATGAGACTGAGGTTCTTGAGACCGGCATGCTACGCCACTATGGCGAGAATAAGCTTGAGTTTCATGCTGGGTTTGATATGGTCATTGTCATTCAGTTCCTGCAGTTCTTGGATGACCATGCCGATCTTCTCTTCGAGGATGGCGAGTGGTTCCGTGAGAAGTATACACATTTCCAGGATGATATGCGCGAGATTATTGCTGCTAGCTCGCGTAGCTCGTGGTTTGCTGCTAACGATGGGTTGGCTGTTGGGCAGTATCGCCAGAAGGAGATTAAGAATGTCGTTGTTTCTGGTCTGTTCTATAGCCAGACTGTTGACAGCTTGGAGCAACCTGTTTCCAATAAACAGGCTTTGGAGGCCATCAAGGCTGTTCCATATGATGCTGAAAGGGTTTCTAAGCTGAGTGCTCATGCCAAACTTATCGATATGGGAGCCTGGCTTGCTTGAACCTGCTATTTATGTCAGTGAGTTTTAATTATTTCTTTATCAGTGTTTCATAAATCCAATTCTTTCGGAAATATAATCGTTTAATATCGTAGTTATTTGTAGGCCGTTAAATTTGTAAAGGATTATTTGGTTAGGTCAGGTAGCAGTTCTCATGTATCGAGGATCGAAGGAGAGGAAACTGCCCTTGTATGGAAACATATTCCATACAATTGAGCCTCTCTGGGCAAATTCTGCAGCTATTGTAGCTTCATGAAACAACGCTATATTGAAGACAAACATTTTTTGGGGTTAAAAACTGCAGTGAACCAACAAGTGCCAAAGGATATCGTCAATTTGGAATCTCATAACCAACTTGTGAGGTGGCTTGTCGAAGAAATAAATCAAAATCTCAATAGTGTTGTCGTCCAATTTGACTGGGTCCAGGTACATGTCTTGAGATCATCTCAATATGGTTCAACCCTTAAATAGCGGCTCAAATAGATGTATCTTTTGTTCTCCTTTTCCGAGATTTCTGACCTTGGCCTAGTACTGTAGATGTGCCATCGTAATGATTCGGACCTGTCTTGTTTGCGAGTTAAAAAAATTTCGAGCCTCTTCACTATTTAACGTTCAGGTTCGGGGTATAGTGAACGGATGATGGTGGCAGTGCTGGCTGTGCAGTGTATCTTGCGTTGATGATCAGGGCTTCACCAAATTACATATTGAAAGTTGGCTTCTGATACGAGTTAGGAGATCATCAATTAGAGTGTCTGGTGAGATCTGCTTCTTTTGATTTGCCCTAAACGAGCGGCGCACGCAGGTAGGTGGTGCAACTCCAAACACGATAATAAGTACATGCATGGCAAATCTCGACCTTGTGTGAATCTAGAAGTGATCAGAAATAAAATAAAATAAAAAGCATTAGACCGCAAAGCAAGTTATCAATAGCGTGGTCACCATATATATATTCTGAAGCCAATGGTTGAAAAATATAGTGTATCTCTTTAAAGAAAACAATATACTCCGTAAGATTGGTTTTTTATAAATACAGTATTGCACAAAGAAATAGTGTCAATGAGCTTTAGTTTATAGTTATAAGAAGTAAGACCACCAAAATTCATATTTAGTCTGGCCGTTGCAGTTTAACGTTCACTAAATGGATTTTGGCTTATGGTACCACATAGTGGATATAACTTTCACCAATTCGGGGGTATGGCGCAATTGGCAGCGCGTGTGACTCCAGTTCACAAGGTTATCTGATCGAGACGGGTTACCCTCAAATTTCTTTTTGGTCGTTTTTTGCCCCCCAATGATGCATATTCACGTGACACTCCTTTATCCTCATCCACACCATAGAGACCTTATTTTTTTTTGTATACATGTGGACTCTGAACATATAAACCTGAATTTGACATCTTCCCGAATATATATGAAGTTAGTTGCCAATAAAAATGAAGTGATGCTTTTGATCATTGCCCAGTCAACTGGTGTTGCGTGATGGTGTCAAAACTGGCCTCGCTTATCAACCAATTGGGGGTGTGGCGCAATTGGCAGCGCGTGTGACTCCAGTTCACAAGGTTATCTGATCGAGACGGGTCACCCTCAATTTCTTTTTTGTTTTCTATTTTTTTAATATCCTGCGTGTCTGATACATGAGTGGAGGGCTATCTTTATGTCTCGAGACTTGAGTATTTTTTATTTCAGGGCTGCTTTACCAGGATCCAAAGACTAAAGAACATATCCGAGCAAGAAAGTCAACTCTATACACGGCATATTAACAGCCCAAGGCGAATTCCCTATAAAAAACCGCATGTCCCTTGACGATAACGTTAAATCCCAGAGCACTAAGGCTAACGTCTATCTTATTCTTCCCAGACCATCTGAAACACTCCTAGCCCAATAATGACACCGGAAGAGTAGAAGTAGATATAAGTTGTGTTATTTCTAGCTGGTATTTTGCCTGAGAAGATAGAAATATGGGTTACCCCATTGAGGGACAACGGCTCACCGGCATCGTTACTGCACGATGTGGAGGACGGATGGTCTCCCCGCCAATGGACTGTCAATTAGCCCTAACTATGACTTCAATCATCATTGGCCCTAGCCTAGCTATTTACATTTCTCAAGTGCGTAATCCCGGTCATGATAGCCTTGAGATTTGCCAGCCAAAGAAGTAGCTAGCGGGTCCTTTCGGCAGAAGAAAAGCTTGGTTTTGCTTCTGTGCGAGGTTAAAAAAGGGTAAAAAGGTGAAAAGAAACACAGCATACGAATATCTACTCTTTTACACTTATATTGTGCCGTGGGTAGAAGACCTAACTACTTCCAAAAAGAAAACTTAACCTAACCCCCAGCTTGAACTTAAGCAAACTTCTCTATTCCTATTTACAGTAGACTGTCACATATGCAGGTATATTACTCAATCACAATAATCTCAACCTCCGCATCAACACCTAAGGGTAATTCAGAAACCTCAACTGTAGTCCGCGGCGGCGCATGATGCATAAGTGGGTTATAAACAGATTTAAACCTCGGACCTACCGCGAGAACCTTGAGGTATACATATACATAGCATCGAACATTAAATGTGAGCGGTCACACTTGTGTAAAGAAATGAAACGGAATGAAATAAATGTACACCATTATTCTCACCATTTGACTCATATCAGGACCGGCAGCTTCTAAGATTGCTTGGATATTCTTGAAGAAGAGGGCTGTTTTCTCTTCAATTATTCCAACGTGTAATTTGCCATTGTTATCAGCGGGGATTTGGCCCGCTACGTAGATTGTTCCGTTGGCTCGGAAGACTTGGGACTGGGGTATGGTGAGTCTGTCATTCCCAATTCAATCAGGAAGTTTAATATGGGATAGCTTGGTTATGTTTACGGCACATATGTAGTGACCTAAAGCTGGAAAGGTATTAGCAGGGAGGTAATATGACATTAACATACGGGGCTATACTCACGAGGGCAGCCATATGGAGTAGAGACGGAGATGATTTCCCTGTTCCTGAATGTAGCGCTAGGAGGCATTTCAAATGATACGTGTAGAGAATAGAGACAATTGATCTAAGACACTGAGCAATTTGGCTTATATTTACTCCAGAGGCGTAGATCTTACGGCTGGGGTATCCTCTGCATCGATACCATGTGAATCTGAATAGCGCGAAGTGTTCCCGCTTCCCCAAGCTATCTTCTTAAGTCCAGTTTGTCTAAATATTTAATGGCTTCATTGTTTTTTTGTATGACAGTCGCAATTTAAAATAAAGGATGGTATTACAGAATAAATAGTTACATAGCGCTATACGCCTCCTGCCATTCATTGAGTTCTGTTCACATCTCGGACCGGCCATATAGTCCTGGTTTCATAGAACAGTCGGAACTTCTCACACCTAGCGCTTTGCACTAGTAGTGATGTATAGAACAACCCCAGACTAAACAAAGGCATAAAAAATTCCACAATCTCCCCTAATCCAAAGCATCCGACTCCGGCGGACCCTTATAAGCTAAAAGAAGAAGTCAGCACAAACCCCCAAAAAAAACGGGAAAGGAAAGAAAAAAGAAGAAACACTTACACTTCCTAGCATAAACAAGATACCAAAACCCAGAAATAGCCATAAAGCCCACAAAAACAACCGAAGCATAATTCATCGAAACAGCCGTAACCGGCAAAGCAGTCGGCATACTAAAAAGAACCAACTCAAACGCAATCCAAGCAAGCCCAAGCACATTCACAAAAGTCCCCACAATCCGCCCACATCTCCAAGGCGCCATACTAACCTCTTCACGCCCATGCCAAAGACTCAAAAAGATAGGAATGGCATACGCTGCCGCGAGAGCAATAACGCCCACAGACACGAATGCCGTGAACGCACTCGTGCTCCCTAGGTTGACTAACCCCAGTAACATCTGGATACCCGTTAACAGGACGAGCGACCAGACCGGCACGCCTAGTTTCGGGTTAACGTATGCCCATATTTTGGCGAGGGGGACTGCGTCGTCGCGTGCCACGGCCCAGGTTGAGCGTGATGCGGCTACTGTTATGCTGATTGAGCAGAAGAGGGTTATCACCAGCACGAGGAAGACCAGCGCCAGGCCGCCGCCTGGACTGCCCATTACTGTGTGCAGGATGTAGGGCAGGGCTTGGCCGCCAGGGGAGGAGATTATGTCTTCTAGTGGGGGTAGGGTCGCGCAGAGGGGGATGATGAAGAAGAGGCCTGCCGCTCCGCCGACTGGGACGCTGAGGGCGATTGCGCGGGGGACTTTTATTGCTGGTTCATTGCATTCTTCCGCCATTGAGGAGATCATCCCTATTGCTGAGAAGGTGTAGGCTGCTGGGAGGAGGCCGATGAAGAAGGTGAAGTCGCCCCAGCCCGCGAAGGATTTGTCGTAGTGGGATAGCGTGTAGGATGCGGAGTGGCGGCCGGACGAGGCTTTGACTGAGACGGCGATTAGGATTACTAGGATTGTTATGACTGTCCAGGCTGCGCAGGCTATGTCGACTTTTGGGAGGTATTTGTTGGCGAAGACGCAGATTATTAGAGAGCCCAGACAGACAGCGTAGAAGATTAGGAGGAGTTGCCAGCTGTTTGCTGTCCATGTTGGGTGATACATTGATATTGTGGCTGAGAGTAGGGACGCGAAGCCGAAGTTGACGGAGAGTGTTATGGTCCAGTTGCCGATTAGCCAGATCCAGGCGTTTATGAAGGAGATTGTCGTCTTTTTGCCGCGAGATATCTGGAAGGTCCAGTAGTAGGGTCCTGCGGAGGTCGGGTAGCGTGATGCTAGCTCTGCTAGGGAGAGAGCGACGCATTGGTCTAAGAGGCAGACAACTATCCAACCTACAAAGATTGATAGTTGACCGCCTCCATAGATGGCGGAGAGGAGGGGGGAGCCTTCGCCATAGGGGATTGCGGCTATGGCGAGGGTTTGGAAGAGGAGGGTTAACACTGAGCGGTTGCGCTGTAGTTCAGGTTTGTAGCCCAAGCGGTCGAGTTCGAGGTTCTCGGGGAGGGAGGTTATAGTGCCTTTTTCTCGATCTGGATGGACATCGGCTGTGGGTGCTTTTTCAAGCATGGTGTAGGAGAGAAGTAGATTGAGCTTGATAGTACCCACTATAAGCTGGAAGTTGTCAGTTATAGCTGGAAAAGACAAGGTAAAGCATACCCAGACAGGTAGGCGATATCAACTTATACTAACTTCAATTAACCTTTCCCAATCTGCGGAGAACGTGTGAATGGATGTATCTGGGTTATACAAGCGACGCCACCAGAAGATACGAGCTCAGGTTGAGGGGTTATCGCATATTGGAGTGATTAAAGGGACAAGGATCATGTCCACTGATTGGGAATTAAGTGGCTGGAGCTACATTCTTATGAAAGGTGAGGTCTTATCAGGGTTTGCACATGCAGCTAACTAGTGTATTGGCTGCATGTTCATATCTTCTATTGTTACCTGCACGACAGACGTAGGTCAGATAGTAATCTTGACCCACTTCTTTCAGCGTGGCTATTTCAATAAAATAGAGAGACACTCAGAAGAATAGTCAAAGTTATCAAGCTCAGAGATAAGAGACGCCACGGCTAACCCTAAACAGCAACTAAATCCCTGTGAGGGGAAACTCCGCATTTGATATACAAGCTTGGCCTTGATATAATATAAAAGATCATTGGATTATATGAACTGATTGAATATCGGGTATGGGGTAATCTGGATATCCAAAACATAAAGAGGTATCAAAGAAGAAATACTAATTATACCGAAACTTTCGAACAAACATTATAGACAGAGAATATTACTGAGCCGTAGATGGGCGGCCCTGGTGCGACCTGCGCGAGTGCAAGCTGAGACGGGAGTGGCCTTGTGGGGGTCCCTCGGTTGCCATTAGGGGAGGGACTGTAGATATGTTAGTTGAATATTCCATGGAATGATAAAGTCATGGAATGGGAGGGGGAAACGAACTGCTGAATCCATAGCCCTCGGTGGCAGCGCTACGATCATGAGGGTCGATTTCCACGCGAACGGCAACGTCGAGGCCTCCGTACATGCCGCTGTCACAGCTGATTCCGTCGGCCGCGCGATGAGTTGTACCGGCACCGACCTCGCCCTTGTGCAAGGGTGCGTGACCATCCTTAGGAAGATGGTCCAGCGCGGCCGTTTCCAATGGCGTCTCGCCGTTGGAGGCCGGGGCTACGACCTCGGTGAGTGTGGCGTAGTTACGCGACGGCATGGTGACCTTGTTCCAAGTGGCGCTCTTTTCCTGACCACCGGGTTGCTTGTCGAAGAAAGGCATAAGGGTTTCGTCACAATCGTGGTCCAGGCGGTGGATCTTGTTGCGGCGGGCGAGGAGATTAGCGACGGCCTTGGGAGGGGGCTTGTTGGTGATGGCGCTGCTGACAATGTTGACAATGAAGCGGTGATCGTTCTCGCCGGCCAGATTGAGCTTCGGATTGGAGTAGAAGCGGCCGATTGCAGCAAGGTGGACATCTCCACTGAGGATGGTGACACGCATGGAGTGGGAGCGGGCCAGCTCCTGCAGACGGTGAACGAGCAACTTGCGCTCACGCTTGTGCTGGCGGGCTGTGTAGTGGTCGTCCAGATCGTCGAGCAAGTCGACTTGGCCATCGAACTCGTTGAAGAGACCACCGGCCACACCGAAGCGCTTGTTCAGGAGACGAATTGGAGCAATGATCGGAGATGTGAGGATGTTCTCCAGCCATGCAAGGCGTGGGTAGGCAACCGGAACGCCCAGCAACACAACCAAATGCTTGATGTCGCCATCGGCTGCCACAATCTCTCGCTGCAGGCGATCGAAGATCAGGTCGTATGTGTCGTCGTAGTTGACCTGGTGGCGGGTACGCTCTGTGCGGGCATCCAGACCCATGAAGGCAATTCGCTTACCGAAACGCATGTACAAACTTCTGCTGCGCTCCTCCACATATGGACCTGGGCGCTTGCCGATAATCCAGCTGTCGTCCTCGGTCTGATTCTCCAGCACGTAGGTGTTCTCCACCTGTCGCGGGTCAACACCGGAGGTTCCATTGACAGCATGCATAGTCTGCGGGGAGTCGGTAGTGAAAGTAGACTTGGGAGGAGCCATGTGGTGCTGGAACAAACAGTAGTACTTGAATGCGACACCGCCAATACCGCGGAAAACGGCACACTTCATGAAATGATCGGTGTAAGAACCGAAGCCATCAATAATGTCATGATCGTCCCAGATGTTGACCTGCGGAATCTGACCATTGGCAGTGCGGAAGGGCTCGGTGTTGTACCAGCGGACATAGTTGGCATAGTAGTAGTCATCGCAGGCAGCGCGCATCTCATTGTCGAAGTCGTGGGTCCGTCTCTTGTGCGGATTATGAATGGTAGTCCAGGCCTTGAGAGGTCCATCCACACGGATACCGTCATTATAGATCTGGTCACCACCGCCAACCATGACGTGGAAAGGTTTCTCGCCGTGCACGCGCATCACATCGTTCCACAGGTTCGGACCCACCCAGGCGTTCATGTCGGTGCCGACAGAGAAGCCATTACACGAGTGGAACATGATACGCATCGACTGCTCTTCAGCTGGGATGACAAAGTTCCACGATTTCTTGACTTGGTCTCCTGACTCGTTGTACAGACCGGGAATGTCATACGTCCAGCGCGCCTCGAAGGTCTCGACCGGCACAGCCAGCGAGAACCGCCAGAAGGCCTTCTCGGGGTCTTCGTAAAGCTTGAGACCTTCAATTGTCTGGCTCTTTTGTTCGACATCGCCCTTGGTCTGCACTTCATCGCCCACAGGGCCCACTTGGCGCAGGCGCAACTGTGGCTGCTCCTGAATTGGCTTTGTGACAATCATAACACTGCCATGCCAGACAGTCGCGGAATCGTAGTGCATGTTCTTCAGGTTGAGGAGGGGGCCAGAGATGAGCCCGAAGCGGTCATTGGCGCCTCGCGTCACCTGTTCGGTCTCGCCATTTTGCAAAGTCCCTGCAACCCATTCGTGGTCAGTTTGCGCGACTCTTATTCATAGAGATGGGATGGTCGCATACCGTTAATGGGTTGCGCAACAGGTTCAGCCATAATCGGATCAATTGAAGCGATTCAGAAAGAAATGGTGTGAAAAGAAGAACCGTGGACTGAGTCGCACCGGGGTTATAAAACAATTGCGCGAGACGGGGACTCCGAAATGCCAGGGGGGGGGAGAAGAGGAGCAGGGAGCGGATTAGGCAGACTCGAATTCTCCCAACGATAGGGCTGCAGGGCTGACAGAGGGAAAGGAAAGCAAGCGAGATTAGAAGCGCAGATCAGGCCCGGTACTTTCGGGGGCTGGCTTGCTTGCGGCGGCTTGGGTACTTTGCAAACAGCTCATGACGCTGCCAAGACTTTCCGCGCCAGAACTTGACCAATGGGGGCTTAGATGATGCAGCGAGCCCCAGTTGAGCCACGTAGCGCCACACAACATGGGTTTGTCACGGGTTTGATTGGGTCAGAAAAGTGGCGGTGCAACTAGCTTGATCGATCGAGGTGGGGAGGTTCTCCTGCTTTGGTCACCGATCAGCGTCTGATCACCAAATATCCATATGCATGGCGTCTGGAAGAAGTGTACTTCTTCTGTTGTACAAGAATCCTCCGTTCGCTTTGACCCCTTGTAACCTCGGTCCCCTCTTTTTTCTAGGATCTACAGATCTGCATTGCTTACACTCGCCTTGACCGATGAGAAAGCGGTCAAGCTAAACGGTCACTCGTCATATATGGACACTAGTTACTCATTAAACCAAGGGTCATCTAAAACTTCTCTCGCAGATGCTCGTGCACACGGCTCAAAGTATAAAAGCTTCCCAATAGCTTGCCCCAGCCTAGTTATAACCTCTGGAGTCGCATTCTGTTTTTGCGCACCATCGAAGTATACTTTTTCCAACCATTCCTGCAAGCCATACCCGGGGTTTTTCTGGCGTTCCGTGTCTTTTTCTTTCATTGTGTCCCAACTATTATGCCATCTAGCAGGTAGGACATCGCTTGCCATCTCTTGCATTTGACGGCCAAGAACCGGATGCGTTATCATAAATGTGCTAAAAGGTGGCTGGCCGGTAAAAAGTTCGAAGAGCTTTTTATACCTGCAAGAGTGTGGATTTTCAAGGTACTGATAACTCCACTTACCATACAGCCCATGCTCCACAAATCGACTCGGTAGTCGACGTGGTCCTGAAATATAACCTCAGGCGCTCGGAGAGGTAAAGAAGTGTGTAATTTCTTCGTTGCGGCGGCGTATAGAAAGATTCTCCAAAGTCGATTATCTTAATCGACTGGGTTGGTTCCCAACCCCGGTATGAAGCAGACCGAACAATATATTCAGTAAGGTAGGTCCCACGGCTTTTCCATCCCTTCTTCGGACATTGCCCATTTGGGAGTTCCGAGCATACACAAATAGTAGCTCCTCACATAATCCGTAGCGTACCTTGGACCATTTCGGATCGCTGTAACAAACCTCGAACTTGGTGCAAGGTTTCCGGTATAAATCTGAGGATCACAAGAGGGAGACTTCTCGATATGCTGTTGATGAGAAAATTACATGCAGCTCACCATTATTTGAGCTAAGCAGACAAGGCGTTGTAGAAACAAAAAGACCCTATCTAAATAATTACTTACTATGTCCACAGTCAAGGTTCCTGGAATAACTCTCTGGCAGTCTTCCGATCTTCAGGTCGCCATTGAAGCATACCACCCACAAAGCATAGAAACATATCTCTTTCCTTGCCTTTAAACAACTTCTCTTCCTCCTCCAGACTAGTTTCCTGATCTCAACATCACGCCTCTTCCACTCCCCTAGAAATTATTTGGCAAGTTACATTCAATAATGAAACAGTGATGCTTACAATCCAAAGTAAAGAACGTATAACTTCGAGCTTCACGTTTGACAAAGTCTTTAGGCGCAGGACCAAATGCCCTAATAATTTCGCCAAGATGTACAGCAGTAGAGAGACGATAAACAACCTCTCCTGCACCGGGGTCTTGGCCCTTGAATATTATTTCGCCCTCGCATAAATGTCAGACCTATCTCCAAATACACAGATTAACGATGATCCTCTAATGCAAATGAAAACCAAGACTCCAGATTCCAAAGTCAGTCGGATAACTCCGTACCATTTCAACTATCACCTAGGGTGATCTGAAGATATCAGGCTGGGGCAAAGTGATTCCTCGATTCGTCTCCTCGGACGGTACTGCCATAGTCACATAGTAGGAGATTTTCGTGTATAAAGAAAGATTGGAAATGTAAGAGAAGGAGAAAAAGAAGGGTATCTTTTTTTTCACATATGTTAGTCAAATACTTACAAAGAAAATACATCTGACCTTGAGGCAGGGGAGGGGCCAATTCGATCTATATCACTAGCCTTTCTAAAACATTTTCAGAACCGCAGTTATATACGTATCGCAGCTATATATGCCACGTGCTGGAACTAAACGCCTTATGTAGTGGACCCTAAGAAGATTAAATCGTGTTCTCAAATATGCATAGAGGAGCCTTAGCTTCCCAGGATGTCAGGGTAAGAAGACTCGTAAAAACAGAATCAACAAAGAAAGCATTAGGCGTCTTATCCTGTGAATTTCATTGGTGAATTCATGTTTGCTCTCCTGATTCTTGATCCGGGCCTCGACTGATCGCTCTAGGAGTCATATTGTACAAGTTCGAGATATAAATGAAGTAAGGAAAAGAAACGGAAAGAGGCTTCATACAGTATGATAAACACTCAAACCCAGGTAAATCCCCACATAATACACAAAAAGCAACAACCCTCACTCCCGATCAGCAAGAATCCCCTCCTCATTCTCACTCCCTCCCCTCCTCCGCCTCGGAACACCCTCGTTCATAATATTAGTCTGCCTAGGCACAGAAACCGACAAAGAAGCATCACTCGGCCTACGCCGCCTCACAAGCTGATATCCCCTATCCAATTCAATCTCCACAGCTTCCCTCACCTTCAGTGCACTAACAGCAGGCCAAACACCCCTCTCACCCTTAAGCGTCCACTCAGCGACTCTCTCGCGCGTAGGACTCTGGAATAACTTCCTCAGATCCCAGAAACATAAATCCGGGACGAGAGTCAGGTTCGGTCCTGGGATTGTTTCGTCGATGAGGAGTCTGCTCAAGGATGCGGGTAGGAAGCCTAGGTAGTCGAGTTGGCGGAGTCGGTGGCGGAGTTCGACGATTATTAGGCGCATTGCTGAGCGGGAGAGGTTGTTCCAGCCTGTTTGGCGGCGATCTAGGAGGTTGAGTTCTGAGCGGAGGAATGGGACTAGGTAGGGTCGTGCTTGGGAGACAATGAAGTGGTTTACATTGAAGAGTTCTGAGATTCGGGATAGTGGTGATTCGCCTTCATTGTAGTGGACGTGTCGCCAGGGTCGGAATATTGCGTCTTGCGTGTGTGGCCACGGTGTTATTGTGCCTGTTTCGTCTTTGCAGTAGATTGTTACTGGTGAGTAGAGTGCTGTTGATGAGGAGGCGTTGGAGGCTACAGCAGCGGACCAGATGAGCTGCGTGGATGTTAGCAGATTCATTTGAGCTGGGGCTGGGGAGTTTGAGACATACCACATTCGGCGCAGTCAAATAATTTAGCAAATTGGGCGTGCCATTCTTCCCCGTCGTCGCAACAGTTATGTTGAGAATCCGCTTGGATCTCGCATACGCTTCTTCAAACGTAAGATCACCAACGTTGGCACGAACACACTCCTCCAAAACCCCAACATCAAACAAATATCCCTTCTGCACAAGCCGCTTCATTCGCCGATAAAACGTCCCAAGCCAACTCTGCCCATCAACAGAGCCATCACCCCCTTTCTTCCGCCGCTCAAACGCAGACAGATCAATACCCGCACCATCAAGTAACGGAAGCAACTCATCCTCTGAATGAATGCCCACCAGAGCAGCAATCATCGCACCCGCCGCCGTACCAGTGATGATCCGCGGCAAAAGACCCTGCAAATGCAACGCCTTCACAACGCCCAGATGGCACAGCCCAAACGCCGAACCACCCTGTAATAGAAGCGTCGTCCGCCCAAAGGCCTGCCGCGTATCATGCAGCAATTCCAGCTTCGCCTGTGAGGTAAAACCGCCTGGATGAATAGGTGCCGGCTGCACAGATGCCACATACTGGATTGACAGCGCGACCTGAGTAATGTAATCGTCGATTAGGAGCTTTGTGCCTGCGTAGGCGTGCGTGAAGAGCTTTGTTGAGGTTATGTTTCCTAGGTTGCGCAGTAGACCTGAGCGCAGGAGGTTTACTAGGGTTGGGATGTCTTCGGACTCGCGCGCGCCCATGAGTGATTCTAGTCGGCCTAGGATGAGTCTGTAGTCGTAGTGCCGACTAACTGGGTTTTGGCGCCTGGGTATGGGTTAGCTAGGGGTCAAGTACCAGTGGGATGAGTGGATAAATACCAGAGGTCTTTACTTAGGAGCTCATCGAGCTCGAACGCGGCTTCTTCCCATTCTTCATAGCTCTGCGCGTTGGCGAGCGTATGGAAGAGCCGATCTCGGGGTGATTTTGAATGTAGCCATGACAGTAGTTTCTAGTAAAAATCGATTAGTCGATAGCTCAAATGAAACCACATCAAATCCATTCATCGGGTCTCAGAGTATGCCGGGTCTTCTCTGTTTGACGCCTTCGGCTTCAAGTTGAACCCCACATACAAGCTGTAGCACCCTCGGGCTATGACTCAGGAGGAACACTCACATCTTTCCAGAACTGCGTGACATCCAGTAACATACTGAACACTGCGCTGAGGATGCTCCACAGCCCTAACCACCAGGAACCCATTTCTGAGAAGAATGCGGTGTTCGGGTGATGGAGAAGGTCGCTTTCACATGCTAACGTCACGCGCTATTCAGTGTGACTTCAGCGTATGTTATGAGATCATTCAATGCGTTCAACAATAAAACGAGTAGACAGGGATACTGCAATTGATTGTGTCTGGATGTACAGTCGAATGTAGGAGGAAAGTTGAACATCGAAGTCCGCGAGCTCAGACCCCGAGTCCAGATTCCCTGGATCTTCAACCTCTACGTCTGTTACTGGAACAACATTGAAGTATAATCGAATTGCCTCGGGCGCACATTTCTACATGCCACATACAAGCCATGAACGCGTTAGGGAATAGTGAATTTCAAAAGGGTCGTTTTGTTTTTGACATTTCGCTTTGCTTCCCTATATGCAAGTAGGCGAAATTAAAGAAACCTCTCCCAGACACCCGATACATCCCAAGCGTCACATTTACTCCTCAATGATGTTGCCCCGCTCCGACACGTACAGACCGTCCAAGAACTAGAGGGAGTTAGTAAAGGTCTGGTAGACTGGTAGACTGGATAGGATAGCAGTGTGCAAACTCACCTTACGGATATCCTTGTTTCGGACACGGCAGATCTGCTGAATGTCGGCGGCGCTCTGGGAGACACCCTCCAGAGAGTTACCCTCGAGGATGAGCTCGTCCTTCACGTTGGCGGAAGGAGCGATATCGACACCGGGCTGGGCAGTCACGCGGCGGACGTACTTCTCACCCAAGAAGTTACTGTATAAAAAGTCAGTCATAGTCCATCACTTGTATTCCTGAACTCCAGAAATATTCTTCAGATGGTGATTTCATACCGGATCTCAATCTCGGCGCGGCCAGTCTCGTGGTTGGGCTCGATGTTGACGTTGATGGGGAAATGGGCGTAGACGTAGCGCATCTTGTAGCGGAAGCCACGGGTGACACCGATCATCAGGTTGTTGATGATGGTGCGGACGGTGCGGAGAGTGGCAACGCCCTTACGGGCACCGTGGTGCAGCTCGATCGAGATAACGTCCTTCTCGGGGCGGCCGAAGGTGACGGCAATGTGGGAAAGGTCCTTGACGAGCTTGCCGCGGGGACCCTCGACGGTCACGATGCGGGAACGAATGTGAACCTTCACTGTAAAGGGAGAAAAAACATTAAATTAGTCGTCTGCTTGTGAAGAGAAATTCACAAATTCCTGGCGGAGCGAGTCGCCGGTCCACACAATTCTCTTTCCATGGCGATGTTGAATTCTGTCGTAGTTTCGTGAGGGTGTATATTTTTTTCGTTGTCGAATATCGAGTGTGTTTGCGGATCCAGTGATTGTGTGCGACCGGCTTCTCCCTCCAACCCTCCAAATTCGCAAAAAGAAAGTCGCTCACCATTGTCCAGAATGGGCAGCCGTTCCTCGGAGTGAATGTACCGCATCTTGGTGACTGTTGGTGTTGGCCGAGGGGGTGTAGATTGTCGATGTCGGGGAGGTTCAAAATTCGGATTGGACTTGGTGGTGGAGCGAAATTGGGCAGTCACGGGATTGTGCGTCGCTTAGGGCCACATCGGGGCTAGCGGCATTAGGGTTCCTTATCAGCTTATCGAGTGGTTAAGTACTGGTACTTGTTCAGTCTGGGCGGTGTGGCTGTAGGCCAGGTACCACTACAACAGGGTTTATTCACCCGATTTATCTCTCCAAGGCTCTTCGATATGACTATGTACAATACAGTGCATTTTAAATTCTTGCAACGCCAACCAGATCCATACCACCGGGACACCCATTAAGTCTTAAGTACTAATCTCACAGTGACGCGTCTACCTTGTGTGTGACATCCACGATCCATTTCCCGCCTAGTTGTCGCAGCTTCGATGCCAGCTCGTTGCGTTGATCCAGTTCAGCAATATCATCTCCACCTCCGATACTCTGTCCGCTCACGAGAACATTGGGGACTGTGCGACGCCCGGTATTCTGGGCGAGCAGGGCCTGCAGATATGGCCCGAGTGGGTGCTGGTCCAATTCGACCACGAACGGTTGCGGTTGGATAGAGTAGTGGTCAAGCAGGATGGCCTTGGCTCTCTTACTGTAGGGGCAGTAGGATTTGGAGAAGACGATGACTGCAGGGCCGTTAGTCTGGGCTACACTGGTATCATGAGTGGGAGTGAAGACGTACCTGGAGCGCGCTTCAGAATCGCATTCAACTCCGTCTTCGCCTCCTGTTCCTTCTTGGCCTTCTCCGCCCGTTCTTTCTCTTCTTTCTTCTCTTCCTCACTCTTAATGCTGGAGCTTGAACCAACCTCTGCTGGTGTATCCGTATCCGTATCCGTATTCGCCTTGTTCTTGGGTACGGTCATCTTTGTCCGTCCCGCGATGGGGATTTCCTCCACATCCTCGTTCCCTGCAGCAGGTGGTATAGCGGGTTTCTCGGCATCTGCGCTAGGCACCTTGACTGCTGCTGCACCATCCTGTCCTGGCGGATGCATAGCATTCTGGATCTTCTCTTGTGTCTTGGCGTGCTTGGCTGCCTCTTTCGCTTTCATGGCGTCAAGAGTTGAGCGGTAGAACTTTTGGTTTTGGATTTTGCTTGTTTCGCCCTACATAGTGAATTGTATTAGCTACTTGAAGAGCAAGGTGTCTAAATAATAGCAGAGAAAGGTGAAGGGTGAACACGTACAGAGTAGTAAAAGGTCAAGAAAAGCAATGCGATGACCCCAATGACAATGAGTCGCATGCGCCGTTGAGAAGGCATTTTGATAGATTGCTTCGCTATTATTCGAAAGCTATGTCCAAGGTTGTTTGACAGTTCCGAGCGTTGACCATCAAATCTGGTCAATCCACACGCGACCAGAACGCGACGAGTAAAGCCAAGAGATCCGCCTCCGGGCCTGAGTTGGTTTTAATTTTTGGCGCGGGACATCCGAGCTGCTAAGATATCTGAGCAAGGCGGCAATACTCCTTTGTGAATGAAATCAAAGCTCAAACAAGTCAGGAGAAGTGGGGTCCTCAAGGGGCCAAGGTCATCCCTGATTGCGGGAGGCGGCGCAATGCTTGGCGGAGTAAGCTATGGATGTCACGGGATTTACTTATGTTTACACTGAAGAGGATGAATGCAAACATGATGATCAATATTGATTAATTCGATACATGACTGGGTATTATGCTAAATAAGTGGTGTTCTTTTGTTCGAAACCCATGTCGCAGCACATCATGACAGGGCATTATTCGACTTCGCACCATTAGGTTTATATATGATAGGGGTAAGATATAGTGTGAAAGATGTAAGTCAAACAGACAGCCGCAAGCCTGTTGCGGTCTAAGCTGTGTCGAAAGGATGGTGATTAAGGAATGTTGAGCCACCCGGGCTTGTGTGGCGTCATGTCAAAGATGGGATAAGACTTCAAGAGAGACATTAGGTTTGGATCGAGAGTCCAGTTCGTGCAGCGTGATTGGTAGTTGCTCGGCGCTTGCCTTGGACAAGGATTGTCCAGTCTTCCCATTCTTTGGCAATTTCGGTCAAGACACTGCCCATGACGCTGGCAGATGCCATGAGGCCATGCCCTTCACCTTCAAGAATTCTGACCTCGCATCGGCGCATTGTCTTGCCCAGCCACTGGACATTGTCAACTGGCACGCGGGGATCTTTGCTGCCATGGTGGATCACCACGGATCGCGTGATGTCCACGTAGCGGAACCCAATGTCCTGGCGACGCTCCAGGCAGATCAACAAATCAACCGCGGGGTTGGCATTGGTGGTGGCCAGCTCCCAGATTTTATATGTGAGACGGGTGTCATAGTCTCGCTGCCGCTCGTGCTCATCTTCTGGAGACTTGGCGCGAGACCCGAGAGTCGTATCACTCTTACGGTAAGAAGCAGTGGTTGCAGAGGATGGTTTGATGGTCGGAGCTATGTCCACCCGTTGAGACTGTGAGTTAGTCTCAGTCGAGGGTATTGTTGGGACTGCAAGTGCAGTATTTGCATTGTATGTCTCTTTGGCTGCCTTGCGCTTCGATCGCTTTGGTGATTTGGGCACACTTCTGGTGATGCTGGCACTGGTGGCACTCATGAAGCTTGAGTTAGCCACTTTGAGAAGGGAAGTTGGAAGAGCACGGAGAATCTTTTGGGCATAAGGAATAGCGTTGGTGGGCGCAGGATCTTTCTGAGAACCGATGGTAGATAGCTGAGATGGAGGAATCCATGGGGCTAAGAGATGGATGCGGCCACGAATGTGCTGTGGGATTCGAAGGGCCGTTGCAAGGGCATAGATTGCACCGGCTGAGTGTGCAAGGATAGAGAACTTGGTGACTCGGAGGTAATTGCAAACAATAGCAACATCATCTGGCCAGCTGAGGGGGGTGTTCGGTTCGTCTGCCTGGTGTGATCCGCTCTCGCCAACGCCAGGGCGATCCAAAGTCACCAGTCGGAGATTGAGCGTTCGAGCTAACTCGTCGTAAAATGCCATGAGGTACCGAGTAAGTCCCATTCCGACGCAGCAAAGCACAACATGACCCTTGGGATCGCCGACTTCAGAGAATGCAATGCTGCGGCCAGTGGTCGGGTGCACAACTCTCTGGGTCAGCTTGGGGGAGAAGATATAGTCATCCACAGCAAGATCAATTGAGTCTGCACTGGATGGACGCTCCGTGCTGTACGAAGGACGCCCATTCGACAGATGACCGGATGGGGTGCGGCGGTGTGATGGTGCTATCGGCTCAAGTGATTGTCTGTGTCTAGCTCTCTCGGAGTCGGTCCTTTCCATGGATGATTTACAGACAGAGTGTGGTAAGTTGACCGGTTTTGACGCCAGGGGTGCGCCTGGTCTGCTCGAGGTGCGGCTTTTGCCTGTCATGACCGATGGCGACGGGGCACTGTCGTTGAAGACAGAATTATTACCGCCTTTGAGGGGGATATGATTGACATCGTGGCCTAGCACGCGTGATGCTTTGGAGGTCTTTGGCTGTGGCTTCTTTGGAGATGGTTTGGGTGACTGCCCAGGGCTATTATCCGCTTCCAGCTCCGATT